TCAGAGGGTTTATTTTCACAACACTTTAAATATAACCATGTGTCATGTAACAACATTTTGGTCAATGACATTGCATATGCAATGGTAGTCTCATAGATTATAATGAAATGAAAAATTTCTATTGCCTAGTGATGTTGTAGCCATCATAACATTGTAGGGCAATGCATTACTCATGTGTTTGTGGTTATAGTGGTGTAAACAAACCTACTGTGCTACAAGTCACATAAAAGTATAGTACATTAAATTATGTACGATACGTAATACTTGACAACTATCATAAATGACCATCTTACTGGTTTATGTATTTACTATACAATACATTGTATTGTTATTTTAGCCGGTACTCTTTCTATAATATATGTATATTCACACACACCCATATATGTGTGTGTGTGTGTGTGTGTGTGTGTATATATATGTAAAGACACAGTTAGTTACCAGTAAAAGAGCCTTGAGCAGGTCCTTTGGGACATATTCTAGAAGAAGGTGCTGCAGAGAATGACAGCTCCATATGTCTTATTGCCCTTGAAGACATTCCAGTGGGGAAAGATGTCATGTAGAGGTGGAAGACAGTGCTATTGATAGTTTTGACCTGTGTAGGCTTAGGCTAATGTGTGTGTGCTTCAGTTAAAAAAAAAAAAAGGAAAAAATTTTAAAATTGTTAAAAATAGAAATAAGCTTATAGATTAAGGATATAAAGAAAGAAAATATTTTTGTATAGCTGTACAATGTGTTTGTATTTTAAGCTAACTGTTATTACAAATGAGTCATGAGAAAAAAGTTTATAAAGTAAACAGGTTATGGTAAGCTAAGTTTAATTTATTATTGAAGAAATAATAATATTTTTGGTTTTTCTGTTTGTTTGTTTTTTGAGATGGAGTCTTGCTCGGTTGCCCAGGCTGCAGTGCAGTGGTGCAATCTTGGCTCACTACAACCTCCACCTCCTGGGTTCAAGTGATTCTCCTGCCTCAGCCTCCCAAGCAGCTGGGATTACAGGTGCACACCACCACACCCAGCTAATTTTTGTATTTTTAGTAGAGACAGGGTTTCACCATGTTGACCAGGCTGGTCTCGAACTCCTGACCTCAAGTGATCCACCCACCTCAGCCTCCCAAAGTGCTGGGATTATAGACGTGAGCCACCATGCCTGGGAAGAATATTTTAAAATAAATTTAATGTATGACTGGATGCAGAGGCTCAAGCTTCTAATCCTAGCACTCTGGGAGGCCAAGGCAGGAGGATTGCTTGAGGCCAAGAGTTCAAGAACAGCCTGGGCAATCCAGTGAGACCCTATCTCTAAAATAAATAAATAAATAAATTAATTAATTAATTTAGCGTAGCCTAAGTGTACAGTGCTTATAAGCCTACAGTAGACTACAGTGATGCTTATAAGTCTGCAGTAGAATATGGTAATGCTTGTAACTACTACTACTCTAGTAGTACTACTACATTAGTAGTACTACTACAGTAGAGTACATTAATGCTTATAAGTCTGCAGTAGAATATGGTAATGCTTGTAACTACTACTACTCTAGTAGTACTACTACATTAGTAGTACTACTACAGTAGAGTACATTAATGCTTATAAGTCTGCAGTAGAGTACAGTAATGCCCTGGGCATTCACATTCACTCACCAGTCAAGCACTAACTCACCCAGAACAACTTCCAGTTCTGCAAACTCCATTCATCATAAATGCCCCATATGGGTGTACCATTTAAAATCCTTTATATCATATGTTTACTGTACCATTTCTATGGTTAGATGTAAAAATACTATTGTGTTTCATTGCCTACAATATACAGTAGTAACATATTGGACAAGTTTGTAGCCTAGAAGCAATAGGCTGTATCATACAGCCTAGGTGTATACTAGGCTATACCAGCTAGGTTTGTGTAACTGTATGATGTTCGCATAAGGACAAAATTGCCTAATGAAACATTTCTCAGTATGTATCCCCAACATTAAGTGATATATGACTATATTTCATTCCATCTTCTTCTTGCTTGCATAGTTTTTGAGGAGAAGTTAGATGTAATTTTTATCATGCTTCTCTATGGTAAGGTGTTTATTTTCTCTGGTTTCTTTTGAGATTTTTTCCTTTATGATTTTCTGAAGCTTGAATATGATATGTTTAGTTCTAGGGGGGAACAGGCATTTATTCTATTTGTGTTCTCTGAGCTTCCCGGATCTGTGATTTGGTATCTCACATTAATCTTGGGGAAATTCTCAGTCATTATTGCTTCGCATATTGCTTCTGTTCCTTTCTCTCTTTCTTCTCCTTTTGTTCTCATTATGTGTATGTTACACCTTTTGTAGCTATCCCATTGTTATAGGATATTATGTTCTGCTTTTCCTCCCCAGCTTTTATTCTCTTTGTTTTTTAGTTTTGGAAGTTTTTATTGTCATGTTCTCAAGCTCTCAGAGATTTTTTCCTCAGCCATGAGTCTACCAATGACTCCATCAAAGGGATTCTTCATTTCTGTTACAATGGTTTTCAAACTCTAGCATTTATGTTTGATTATTTCTTAGAATTTCCATCTTTCTGCTTTTGTTGCCCATCCACTCTTGCATGCCATCTGCTTTTTCTGTTACATCCCTTAACATACTACTCGTAGCTTTTCAAAATTCCTGGTTTGATAATTTCAGCATTCCTGCCATATCTGACTCTGCTTGTGATGCTTTTTTAGGCTCTTCAAACTAGTTTTTGTCTTTTAGTGTACCTTGTAATGTTTTTTGAAGGCTGGAAATGAAGTCTGGCTAGAAGGAACTGCTGTCAAAAGACCTTTAGTGATGTGGTGTAGGTGTGGGGGAGGGAAAGCATTCTACAATCCTACGAGTAGGTCTAGGTCTGTGGTGACCCTGCCCCCCTGAATTGTGACCTTCACAAATGCTCCTCTATCCTGTAGGTGGGACAGGATGACTGCAGGGGGCTAGAATTGTGTATTTCCTTTCACCTGCATGGAAGTCTGGAGCCACCTGGAGTTGGTAGGTCAGGCTCTGATGTAACCCAGCCAGTTTGGCTGGGATAAAACAGACTCCTGAGGACAGGCATTGTTAAGGACAAAATGCCCTATCTCAAGATGGTTCCTTTTTTCTTCCCCCTGCTGAAGCACAAGGGGATTTTTCTCCAATATTCACTGTGAGGACCTGGTCAAGCTCCTGGAGGTAAAATTCACAAAAGTGTCGGGGCCCTCAGGACGGGGGTCCCCTTGGAGTTTTTGTCCCTCAGACTTGCAGCACTAAGCCTCCAGCAATTTTTTAGGTTTTCCTACCCTGGCACTGGAGGTTTCTGCTGGAGATAAGTTGTGATTCTTTCTACCCACCTGTCTGTCTCTCCAATGTTGGGAACAATAGTTTGTCCTGTGACCTCACTTCTCTACTGGATCTAACTTCTCTACTGGATTAATTTTTCAGTTTGTTCAGCTTTTTACTTGCTGTTAGAATGGAGCAAAGATTTCTTAGCTCCTTATATGTTGAACTGGAAACAAAAAATGAGTACTTTCTGAAGATAAAAAATCCCCAAAGTAATATAATAAGATATCACAAATGTCACTAGTCCACCTGCAAAAAAATATGTACCACCTGTTCCTCCCAATAATAAAAAAGCTTAAGGAGACAACAAGGGTGCCAAGAGGCAGCTGGTTGCTGGAGAGCAATCACCACGGTGTTTCCCCGGAGAGTGAGAACATGCACTCTTTGGCTTGGGAAGAAAGGTGCCATTGTGAGCAACGCTGCCATGACGCTGTGGCCAAGAGCCATCACTTGACTAGTGGTCATGGCATTGTGGAGAGCTGCCTGGCATTGCAGCCTGTGAAACTTTGGAGATAATTGGGAGGGGGTGGAGGGGGTGATGGAGGCTCAAGGCCCATAGTGTCTAGTCTACTGCACCTTGAATGCCAAAGGCACCCATGTGGTTCACCCTCTGTCTAGTCTGCAGATGGAGGGAAATGAGTTGATGTGGCTCCAGGTTCCCAGATGACGACCTGCCATGACAGGAAGGGGCTCTCCTTCCCAAGCAACAGTGCTGCCTGCCCAGGACAGAGCATGAAGGAGCTTGTGGGTCAACAGGGACCTCTATTTGAATGTATAAATCTTCTGTTAAGATCTTCTTCAGTCGCTTGGATGTCCCTTCTCCCTTCATCCTTTCAGCAAACTCTTGGCTCCAATCAACTAGGCAGCCAGCCCCGGGCCTTGCTGGGGCTGGTCAGGGGGTGGGAAGAGGTCATTCCAGAAAGGCCTGGGCAGCAACATTGTTTTCTCCCACAAAGGACGGTGCCATCCGCCACCAAGCCACTCACGAGGCTGATTCCAGTGACTGATGGCCACAGGCAGAAAAGGAGGCTTGTGTTCTAAAGGAATGTGAAGAAGAGACAAAAAGCTTCTGTTGTAGCAAATGCAAGTATTGATGCAATGAGAACTCACTGCCTTTCCTGTTCTAAAGAATGCCACTCCCAGCCAGCAGGCAGCCGTGGGGTCAGGGCTTGGGTGCTGGAGCCTTGTAGCTGGGTTCAGATCCGACCTCTGAACATACCTTGTCAAACGACAACCTTTCTCAGCCTGAGTAAAAGAGGGAAAAAGCTGCACCCCTGAGAGGGCTGTCGGAGGAGTAAAGGAAATTGACATGCACATACATGTGCACACATACAGACACACGTGAAGTGCCCAGAAATGACACGCACATGCATGTGCACACATAGAGACACATGTGAAGAGCCCAATGCACTCACTTGGGAGTCATTATTATTATTATTAAAGTTACTGCTCTTGTCTGCAGAACCTGGAGCTGTCAGGAGAACTCCTGGGGCGGGAGTCAGACCAGGCAAAGCAAAAACAGCAAATAGCAGCGGGACAGAGACTTCTTGCTGAGCCAGATATATTAGGTCTAAAAGGGCAGAGTGAACCTGCCGGCTACTTTAGAATACTCTAAATCCAGGAGGCCCCAATCTGGCAAATTGAGACAGAATATCAGCATTTCATGCGTATCACGTTTTATTATTTTTGAACCATGTCACATTCCATGAATTCATTTGGGTTCTAACCAGTCATTCCGAAGTCTGTGCTCCCTTCCAGAAGTGCAGGCCCAGTGTGAGCTGAGCTGGGGGCAGAGCAGGAGCATCGCTGTTTGCCCTGGGTCCATGGCAACGCCAGAGCCCAGCTCAACACAGCAGGGCTTTTGTTTTCATTTTTCAACTTTTTTTCGAAGCTTTGAGAAGGAACTGGAGATTGGAGTGTGAAGAGCCCACCCCACACAAAGCCGCTTTTCATGGCACTTGCTGTTTCTTGCTGTTTCTTGCTCAGGAATTGAGTCCTGGTGAAATATGAGAGGAAGTGTTTGAACTGATGCTGGGGCAAGATCTCAAAAGGAAAACTGAGTTATGTCTTTTGTAGAACTCTGCCACAGATATTTATTTTCGTTATACTTTTTATAACTTTTAAGGATTCTTGGAAATTTGCAATAAAATCATGTCAGTTTAAATTTTTTAAAAATCACAAGACTAGCCTATTTGTTTTCTCACTCAACAGGAGTGTTTTTCATTTGACGACTTCAGAAGATCCCACGTCTTACGGCCCATCCCTTCCTGTAGGACGCTGTGGGCCAGGACAGCACAGTACTTGGCCACATGCACAAGTGAGCAGCCACAAAAGCCTAATCAATTGATTGTTCGAACTACTTAACTCACGTCTGTAATCCCAGAACAAACTTGGAAGGCTGAGGCGGGCGGGATCACTTACGGTCAGAGTTGGAGACAGCCTGCAACATGGTGAAACCTTGTCTTACTGAAAATACAAAAAATTAGCCGGGCGAGCGGGGCGGCCTGTAGTGCCCAGCTACTCGGGATGCGAGGCAGGGAGGATCCCTGTGAACTCGGAGACGGAGGTTGCCAGTGAGCAGAGGATTCATCGCCTCACTGCACTGCCCAGGCCCTGGGCACAGAGACGAGAACTCTGGTCTCAAAAAACAACATAAACAGGGCCGGCGGCGGTGGTCAACCTGTGTAATCCAGCAGCTTTGGAGGGGCCGAGGGCGGGTGGATCACGACGGGTCAAGGAGATCGAGACTATCCTGGCTAACATTGGTGAAACCCCGGTCTGCTACTAAAAATACCAAAACTAGCGGGCGCGCTGGTGGCGGGCGCCTCGTAGTCTCAGCTAGCTCGGGAGGCTGGAGCAGGAGGAATGGCATGGAGCCCGCGGAGGCGGAGGGCTGTGCAGGTGAGCCCAGATCACGCCACTGCACTCCAGCCTGGGAGCACAGCGAGACTCCATCTCAAAAAAAAAAAAAAAAAAAAAACAAACTCTATTTAACAAGTGAGGATGCATACGCCTTGACTGTAAAAATGCCTTTGTGGAATTGAACCACCTCCACGGCAACGACCCAGGAGGTGGAAACGAGTTATTTTATTTTAGCGATTTAAATAAAGAATGTATCAAACAAGAGAAGAGGAAAGCTGAGAACCTGAAATCTGGAAGCTCGGTTGGGCACAGTGATTCACGCCTGTAATCCCAGCATTTTGGGAAGCTGAGGTGGACAGATCACCGGAGGTCAGGAGTTCAGGACCAGCCTGGCCAACATGGTAAAACCCCGTCTCTACTAAAAATACAAAACAATTAGCCGGGCTCCTGTAATCCCAGCTGCCGGGGAGGCTGAGGCAGGAGAATCGCCTGAACCCAGGAGGCAGAGGTTGCAGTGAGCTGAGACCGCACCATTGCACTCCAGCCTGGGCAATAAGAATGAAACTCTATCTACAAATATATATATAAATAAATAAAATTTTTAAAAATCTAGAAGCTCAATCCCTAGCAGTTTTGCTACTGCAGAACAATAACCTCTTTTTTTTTGAAAAACAAACTTTAAGTTGAAAACACTGTGAATAACCTGGCACTATATTTCAATTTTTAGTGTAACTGGAATATATCCACAGGTATATTTAGCAACTAGTAGTTCTATTGAGTGCTAACGTAAATAAAATTTAAATCATAGGAGGAATACACTGTTTTTGGAATTAAAACTTATTCAGACTCCATAATAAAATCAATTCCTGATGTAATTCCTGTAACATATGTATTAACCTTAAGTTCAACATTTAAAATTAATTATCTGTTATTGTGTATTAATTTATAAAATTAATTGCAATCTTCTGAACTCTGCCTTTGGGGTTCCCTGGAACGAGGCCCAGGGGCCGTGTTTGCCTGAGTCACATGGGTGCACCTCCCTTCCCCAGGCGAGGCCCACTTGGCTGTGCGTCCCCCCACAGCTGGGACCATGAGACGCAGAGGTAGACAAGGACAGTGTCTTGGTGATCACAACTTTTAAAACAAAAAACTCAGATGCCCGGGATGAGAGAGTGCACACCCCATGCTGACACCCCACCCTGACCTTGCTGCTGCCGTGATGATGACCACAGAAGGACACCTGTTCACGGAGCCCTGGCTGAGCTCGTTCTGTCCTGAGCCTGTGCAGCTGGCCAGGTCCCTTGGCCGTAGGAAGGCTCCAGAGGCCTCTTTGGGTAGAAGAGTGTGGGGTCAGGTCAGTTGCTCAGCACACCAAGGAGCCAGGCCTCACAGGGACTCTCTTAGGGACAGATGTTGCAACTCAAGTGACAACTACTCCTGCCCCTGGAGTGGGACTCGTGTGCTCCAATGCCCCCCAACATGTTGGCCTTCAGGTGCCCTGCCAGGTCCTGGGTGTTCAGTGTGCTCTGGTTCCTGGGAGGAAGGTAAGACACTGAGTTCTGAACTCTGGAGGTGGAAGGGGGCTCCTTGGACAGTCACCTGATTAAGCACAGCCCTGGCCCCATCCTGGTCACAGGGGTGTGAGTCTCCAAGGACAGGGCTCCAGAGCACCATGTGACAAGTCACACGTAAAGGAAACCTGGGCAATGGCATAAATGAGGACCTCCCCTTAGTGGGGAAAGGAGCTTAGCAGGCTTCAGAGCCTCAGCCTGCATAGGAAACGCGTGTTTCTTCATCATCATGGGGGAAACTGAGGCTCAGAGAACTAGTTCACCCAGGTTGCATCACTCAGTGTCAAAGCCAGGATTTGAACCTGGGCCTGCCTCCACAGTCCAAGTCCCAACCACGTGAAATGCTGCTGTCGTGGATCAGAGCAGGAGGAAACACCCTGCTCTGAATCAAGGAGGTGCTTTTACTCTGCTTTTTTTGTTTTTGTTTTTGAAACAGAGTCTCACTCTATTGCCCAGACTGGAGTGCAGTGGTGCAATCTCAGCTCACTCCAGCCTCCTTCTCTAGGGTTCAAGTGATTCTTGTACCTCAGCTCCTGAGTAGCTTGGATTACAGGCATGCACCACCACACCTGGCTAATTTTTGTAATTTTAGTAGAGATGGGGTTTCACCATGTTGACCAGGCTGCTCAAACTCCTGGCCTCAAGTGATCCACTTGCCTTAGTCTTCCAAAATGTTGGGATTACAGGCATGAGCCACCATGCCCAGCCAGACTCCACTTCTTGATGGAGAAATGGCAAGAGAAGAGCATGTGGGGAGGATTGCTGAAATCGCTATGGCCAACTTTGGAAAATACATTCTGCCCTCTGGCTGCACCCCCCACACATTCCAAATAGACTCACCCAGACACCCATGGCCTCATGCCATTATGGCAGCCAGAATTCCAGGTCTCACCACCTAACCAAGTCCATGCAGGGTGAGGCTCTATGGGCATGGCTCCTCAGACACAACCTCTTCAATGTGTTTCCTTCTCAATCCACAGACTTGTGACCTCAAGAGCCAAGCATCTGACCCCACCTCTTCACCCTATGTCTAATGGGGATGGAGATAGGACAGATACCTTGGCCCCTGCCATTCAGAAGGGTGAAACTGAGGCAAAAAGCAGTCAGTCTGCAGAGATTCTGAAATCCAACCTGACCCAGGTCAACAGGTCTGCAATTAGGGCCCAGTGTTGCTCCAGGGACTGATTCTCTAGGCACCTGAGAAGAAAATAAAAGCCAGCTTGGATTAAAAGAACCAGATAGTACAAAATGAAAGGAGGCCAGTGGGCCCCTGAATTTCTACAGGCTAAGACTGCTCAACCACAAACATGGGCTGCTCTTATTTTTCTAGTACACTTCCCTTAATAACTTTGTGGGTTTTCTATGAATTTTATTGAAGTTCACTCCATTAGACAAAACCTGCACCCCAGATCTCTTTTAAATAGACTCTTTACTATTGGGGTTCCTTGTGTGGCTGTTGTGGAACAATGCTCTTAAGATTCCCAGAAGGTCTCCTTAATAGGGATCTGGGAGGCACATGCATACGGTCCCTGGGAGGTCCTTTGCATCTGAAAAGGCTGGTGAGACACCAATTGAACTCTTTCTGCATCTTAACAGAGGGTTTTATAATCCAACCCTTGACTTTGTGTCTGCTCTGAACCCGCATATTCCCTACAGGGCTGCGGGTCCCAACTTTGCTCTGAGCCCTTTCATTCTTTGAGAATCTTCTGCTGGAAGAAACTGTGGATGAAAAATAGTTTCATTGTTGAGCCCAGCAAATCCTGGCTCCTTCATGTTTTTATAGGTTCTGTTTGAAAACCCCATCGTTCCTTCTCCAATGCCTCTTTCCCTACAGTGCCTCTCTCCCTAATCATTCCTCATGATGTGCAGGTGAAAGAAGCCAGTCATCCAATGACAAGAGCCTTCTTTCCTTCACTTCCAGAACATTTCCTTGCTTTTCCTCAGTCCCTTGCCAGCTGCTTTCTCATGCCTGCCAGCCTCTTCTCTGGGGCTGAGTCCCACAGCCAACCCCCCATGTTTTTTGGCTTTTGTCATGGTAGCATCCCACTTCAAAGTACCCGATTCTGTTCCAGTTACTATTGCGGCATAAGCAACCACTATCTAATAGCATAAAAGCATCAGCTGTTTTATTTTTCTCCTACGGCATGATTGATTGGCACAGGGTGCTGGTGTGGCTCCGTGTCTAGGACCTCAGCTGGGGAGACAGAACAGCTGTGGCTCTGCGGCTGGGGTAGAACCATCCCGAGGTCACGTAGCACCAGGTAGGAGAGAATATGAAGGCTGGGCTCAGCTGGGACTGATATCAGCAGCACTGTGCGTGGTGTCTCTGCGAGGCTGGGTTCTGAGGAGTGTCCCAAGAGCCTGCATTCCTAGAGGACTGAGAGAGCTGCATGGCCTTTCCTGAGCTGCCTTGGGAGCCACTGCAGGCCTCGCAACCTAGTGACTACAGCAGACGTTACAAGCCCAAGACCAAGAGGAACGAAGGTGGATGCTGTTTCTCAATGGGAAGATGTCAAAGAATGTACAGCCATTGGAAAAAAAAAAAAAAAAGCACCACAGCTTACTCTCTAGCCACACATTATTTACATATTAGTCCATTCTCATGCTGCTATAAAGAAACACCTGAGGCTGGGTAATTTATAAAGAAAAGAATTGACTCACAGTTCCTCATGGCTTTGGAGACCTCAGGAAATTTACAATAATGGCGAAAGATGAAGGGGAAGAAAGGCACCTTCTTTACAGGGTAGCAGGAAGGAGAAGTGCTGAGCAAAGGAGGAAAAGCCCCTTATAAAAACCATCAGATCTCATGAGAACTGACTCACTGTTATGAGAACCGCATGGGGGTAGCCACCCCCATGATTCAGTGACCTCCCACAGGGTCCCTCCCACCACACATGTGGATTATGGGAACTAAAATTCAAGATGAGATTTGGGTGGGGACACAGCCAAACCATATCAGGGACTGAATTATGTCCCCTACCTCCAAATTCATATGTTGACCCCAATCCCCAATATGACTGTATTTGAAGATAGAGCCCTTAGCAAGGTATTCCAAGGTGAGCAGGTCTATGCAAACCTACCCCCAAAGACCGAGGAGGCTGAGAGGCTGAAGAAAGAGGCTGACAAATCCAGTTTCTTAGGAACATTTAACAGGGACTTATGAACAGAAGCTTTGTCTGTGTCTTGGGCAGCAGTGAGGGAAGTGGGTGGATCTCCTCACTGTTACCCTCCCAGACCCAGGGCTTATAGACCATAGGGGAAGAGTATGCAGACTTCAGAGGTGATGTGTAGGATAACTGTATGGTAAGTAAGATAATGTCAAGGTTATTTTGCCCTAAGGGCAGGATTTACGGTAAGTGCATGCTTTTACACAAGGATCAGTAGTTAAAATACAAATCTTACAGGCATTTCAGGAACTGGGGTTAATCAGAAGTCAACGTGGAGGATCAGCATCCAGGGCAGGTCGCTAATCTGATAGCACCTAATCTGGTGCCCTTATAAGAAGAGGAACAGATACTGGAGTGCTCTCATTGCATGCACACAGTGGAAAGGCCATTTGAGGACACAGCAAGAAGGTGGCTGTCTACGAGCCAGAAAGAGAGCCCTCACCAGAAATCTAATTTGTCGGCACCTTGATCATGCACTTCCAGCCTCCAGAACTGTGAGAAAATAAATTTCTGTTGTTTAAGCCTCCTAGTCTGTGGCATTTTGTTAAGGCAGCCTGAGCAGACTATTGTATGAAAACCAGCTATCATCAGATAGAAAACCAGCAGCTATACCTGGTTGTTGGAAGAATTGTTTTTTGAGGTTGTAGGACTGAGGTCCTTAGTTCTTGCTGGCTGTTGGCTGACAGTCTCAGTGAGTTCCTACAGGCAGCCCTCAGTCCTTGCCATGGGGAACGTCCCCAGAATAGCCACACATGTTCCACGTGTACCTGAAAATAACATGCACTCTGCTAGGGGTGGATGAAGTGGATATACTGATTTTATATATTTGTGTACATATGTAAGTCTCATGATGTAAGCCAACATGACGTGTGTCATGTTGGTTAAATCAGCTGTTTGAATCTCTATTGTCTGCCTTCTTGTTCTGAGTTATGTGATAGGTGTGTTAAATCCCCCAACTACAATTATGGATGGTTCTATTTCTCCTTTGAGTTATATTAATTTTTGAATTTCTGGATTTTATATTTTGAAGCTATGTTATAGACACACAAATTTGGGGCTGCTATTTCTTTCTACTGAATTGACAGTTTATCATTATGAAATAATTCTTTTATTTTTGGTAATACTGTTGGTAAAGTCTGCTTTTTACAATATCAGTATGGTTTGTGTTGGTGTGGTATTGCTTCCCCTATTCTTTTACTTTCAACTAAATGTTTCTTTATAGGTAAAGTATGTTTCTTATAACTATCATTTAGTCAAATCTCTAAAAGAGATACTTAAGAATACTGGCACTGGCCCAGCATGGTGGCTCACACCTGTAATCCCAGCACTTTGGGAGGCTGAGGTGGGTGAATCACTTGAGGTCAGGAGTTGAAGATCAGGCAGACCAACATGGTGAAACCTAATCTCTACTAAACATACAGAAAAAAAAAAAAATTAGCTGGGAAGGGTGCTGCATGCCTTTAATTCCAGCTACTCGAGAAGCTGAGGCATGAGAATCGTTTGAACCCAGGAAGCAGAGGTTGCAGTGAGCTGAGATTATGCCACTGTACTTTAGCCTGAGCGACAGGGCTAGACTCTGTCTCAAAAAAAAAAAAAAAAAAATTGGCATATTTTCTATCTTTACATTTAATGTTGTTAGAAATATAGTTGGATTTAAGTCTGCCATCTTGCTGTTTTTTTTTTTTTTTTTTATTATACTTTAAGTTCTGGGATACATGTGTAGAACGTGAAGGTTTGTTACACAGGTACACATGTGCCATGGTGGTTTGCTGCATTGCTGTTTATTTATCATTTGTCTTGTCTGTTTTTTATTTCTGTAGTACTCTCTTAATGTTTTCTTTTCCATTTTTAAAATTTATTTTTTCTTTTATCTTCTATTTTGCTTGTTGTCATACGTCATTGTAGTTTTTGAGAGCTCAATATGCACTCTTGACCTGCCTGAAGTTATTAGAATACTTTTGCTTTGTCCTAACAAAGATCCAGCACATTACGATAGTTTATTTATCCCCCTTGCTCTGTGTGCGGCTGTTGGCATATATTCCACCTCTACACATTATAAACCTCACAAGTCATAATAATTGTTGATTTAAGGACAAATTTTAAAAATATATTTATCCATTTATTTACATTTTCTAGTACTCTTCTGTCCTTCCTGCAGTTATGATTATCTTATTTTAGCATGAAGTTCTTCTTTTAGCATCTTAGTGCATGTTTCCTTCAGTCAGATTCCATTTATCTGAAAATGAATTTGCTTTGACTTCCTTTGTAATGGATACTTTTCTTAGGCTTAGAATTATATATCAGCAGATTTTTCTTTTTTTATCATTATACTTTAAGTTCTGGGGTACATGTGCAGAATGTGCAGGTTTATTACATATACACTTGCCATGGTGGTTTGCTGCACCCATCGACCCATCATCTACATTAGGCATTTCTCCTAGTGCTATCCCTCCCCTAGCCCCCCACCCCCTGACAGGTCCTGGTGTGTGATGTTCCCCTCCCTGTGTCCACATGTTCTCACTGTTTAACTCCCACTTATGAATGAGAACATGCAGTGTTTGGCTTTCTGTTCTTGTGTTAGTTGCTGAGCATGTTGGTTTCCAGCTTCATCCATATCCCTGCAAAAGATATGAACTCATCCTTTTTATGGCTGCATAGTATTCCATGGTGTATATGTGCCACATTTTCTTTATCCAGTCCATCATTGACGGGCATTTGGGTTGGTTGCAAGTATTTGCTATTGTGAACAGTGCTGTAACAAACATACGTGTGCATGTGTCTTTATAGTAGAATGATTTATAATCCTTTGGGTATATACCCAGTAATGGGATTGCTGGGTCAAATGGTATTTCTGGTTCTAGATCCTTGAGGAACAGTCACACTGTCTTCCACAATGGTTGAACTAATTTACACTCCCACTAACAGCGTAAGAGTTCCTATTTCTCCCCATCCTCTCCAGCATCTATTGTTTCCTGACTTTTTTTTTTTTTTTGAGACGGAGTCTCGCTCTGTCGCCCGGGCTGGAGTGCAGTGGCTGGATCTCAGCTCACTGCAAGCTCCGCCTCCTGGGTTCACGCCATTCTCCTCCCTCAGCCTCCTGAGTAGCTGGGACTACAGGCGCCCGCCACCTCACCCAGCTAGTTTTTTGTATTTTTTAGTAGAGACGGGGTTTCACCGTGTTAGCCAGGATGGTCTCGATCTCCTGACCTCATGATCTGCCCGTCTCGGCCTCCCAAAGTGCTGGGATTACAGGCTTGAGCCACTGTGTTTCCTGACTTTCTAATGATCACCATTCTAACTGGTGTGAGATGGTAGCTCATTGTGGTTTTGATTTGCATTTCTCTAATGACCAGTGATGAAGAGCTTTTTTTCATGTTTGTTGGCCTCATTAATGGTTTGTTTTGAGAAGGGTTCATTCTTTTCATTCTTTTTTTCTCTAATCTTGTCTTCACACTTTATTTCATTAAGTTGATCTTCAGTCTCTGATATCCTTTCTTTTACCTGATTGATTTCATTATTGATATCTGTGTATGCTTCATGAAGTTCTCATGCTGTGTTTTTCAGCTCCATCAGCCCATTTATGTTCTTCCTTTCGGGGCTGGGTTTATAGTTTTGTAACCCCTATGCCAAATGTTGACACCTTATAGTAATTGGCAGGGATAAGTAGGAAATTGCTTGATAAATAAATACAAACAAAAATGTATGCTCGCAATTCTTAAGACATTTCTAATATTACTTTGCCACTAATTTTAAAGTTAACTTATTTATTAAAGATTTTAAGTTAACTTAACATTTGACTAGTCTTCCCCTTTTTCTAATAAAGTATTTTATTTGAGCACTTTTATTTTTCTTTAAGCCAATTAATTAGAGCTCTTTTATATTTTTTAATAGAGAAACATGTGTACACAACACATAAATACATAGAGGTATTAGGTATACCGATAGAAGTACCTCTTATAGATTCCTAAGACCTCCTTTTTTTTTTTTTCTATCTTAGACTTGCAAACTCTCGATAACCTGTGTCACTGCCTCAGAAGTTGTCAGCTAAATAGCCCTAAATCTGCATATTGAAGGAAACTCTTAGATGAAAAATTGGATAGCAAAATTTACATTTCAAGGTACACGGAGAAAAAGTCTGGTGGTGCTAAAGAGAGATTAAAGATGGATGCCAAATGAAACATAAAATTATGAAAATCTATCACAGGATTGTATAAGGAGACCAATTTTATTTAGATAGAGACTACCTATATTTTAACTGGATCTCTGAGCTCTGGGCAGACCCTACACTGAATCCTGGGTCTCCAAAAAGCGAAAATTATTGTGAGGTTAGACCAGGTCATGCTTTTACAGTGCACTTAAAAAGTTTTTTTTAACAAAGACATTTCTATGTGTCTAAACTACACTATTCCTTAAGAAATCAAGAGTAGCCTCTGTTGCAGTAACTATTTTAGTAAAAAAATTAGGTAACACCATATAAAAGCAAGCAGTTTAAGAGCTGAGATGAACTTGTCTGTTTACTCTCTTGGGGTTCCATAAGGAAACAGGTTTCTCCTCCAAGGAGAATCTGGCACCTTCTCCATTTTCTGTAAGGAACCCTGGGTATTATAAACTATATTAGGTTTCTCATAAAGCAGAGGGTGCAAGAGAAAGAAGAGACGGCAGAAGTAAATGAAGAAAACAGAAGCCAGTCAACTAAGAAAAAAGCTTTTGCTCAAAAAGACAAGGTCCTAGGAGAGAAAAACAAAAACGAAAACACAAAAACCAAAACCTGAAGGCCTTTTAAATACAAACACACACACAGGCACACATACACACACATGTTGGATGTTAGCTTTTAATTAAGCTGACTTTTAACCATTGAGCTCCTTAAAAAAAAACTTTTAAAAACTCATTAAGGAGAGAGACCCTCTCATATTGTTTTATATTGTTTTATACTCAGTACCTGTTTTAAGAAAAAAACAAGGAAGTAAAACCAAAGACAGGCAGCCTGGTGCCAGGCCTGGAACCAGGCCTGGGTCTGCCTGGCCTAAACCCAGTAGTTAAAAATCAACTCATGACTTAGAAACCGATGTTCCTGACATTGTATAGAAGAACACTGTGAAACTCCCTGCCTGTTCTGTTTCACTCTGACCACCGGTGCATGCAGCCCCTGTCACGTACCCGTTGCTTGCTCAAATCAACCATGATCCTTTCATGTGAAATCTTTAGTGTTCTGAGCCCTTAAAAGGGACAGAAACTGTGCACTCGGGGAGCTCAGATTTTAAGGCAGTAGCTTGCCGATGCTCCCAGCTGAATAAAGCCCTTCCTTCTACAACTTGGTGTCTGAGAGGTTTTGTCTGTGGCTCGTCCTGCTACATCATTACTGGCTGGGCATGGTGGCTCACACCTGTAATCTCAACACTTTGGGAAGCTGAGATAGGCGGATCACTTGAGGCCAGTTTGAGACCAGCCTGGCCAACATGGTGACCAAACCCCATCTCTACCAAAAAAATACAAAAATGAGCTGGGCGTGGTGGTGCATACCTGTAATCCCAGCTACTCAGGAGGCTAAGGCATGGGAATCACTTGAACCTGGGAGATGGAGGTTGCAGTGAGCTGAGATTGTGCCACTGCACTCCAGCCTGGGCCACAGAGCAAGGCTCTGTCTAAATAAATAAATAAATCTCATTATCATATTTCATCTAGGACAAATTGCTGTTATTTCAGAAGTACCAAGTATCAAACCAGAAAGGGCTTGATTTAGGAACCAAACCCAGGCTGTCGTGGTGGAAAAAAAGAAGGCAGAATCCTTAGGTAAGGAACTGCAGCATGGGATGACAGTCATTGCTCTTTTTGGTTGGTCTGGCTAGCAAAAATGTGGCCTTGTTATATTAAAAAAGTCCCTTAAGTAGTCAAAATAAAAAATCTTTTTTTTTTTTCCGTTTGCTGGCTATTTTTCTTCCCCCACCACACCACCTTTTGTGTGTGTGTGTGTGTGTGTGGTGGGGAGGGGGGGAAACTTACCCAGTTCAGAGGCCTTGCTTCTCATAATTTGGAACTTCCCTTTGGATTTGATCAAGTCAGATAGAGTTGGTCAAACTCAATGGGAAAAAGACAAAAGAACAAAAAAAAGAAACAACAACAACAACAAAAAACAGTTAAGCGAAACGAAGGATTGGACAATTTATAAGATTACTGAGCACACTCATGGTAAGGAGAAATTAAGACCAGCTGGTTGTTAATCTTAGCCAAGACAAACCCAATTCAGTTACTTACCTAGGGATGGGTCTCAGGCTGAAGATTGCTCTCTACCATCCTAGGAGCAGGGGAAGAAAACCCCTCATCTTTCCTGTGGGAAGCGAGCTCAAACTCCATAAAAGAGTTACCTGCCTTCCACTGTCACTGAAGCAAGAAAAAACTTGCCTTCCTTATGTTGGAAGAGAGTAAACCACCCCCGTCCCCTCACCCCCCACACACAAAAGGAGTTGTACAGCAAAATAAACTAGATCTTGACCAAATCTGGGTAGATCAGGGATTCTCTGGAGGGGGTTCTTCGAGGCCTCAGCAAATTGTCCTGTTGGTTTGAGCCATAAAGATAGCTCAGGCTGGTACTAATGACTGACAGGAGATTTGTCAAAGGTCAGTGGCACCTCTACTAGGAATCGCTTTGTGGTTACTAAAATGTGAACCTTAAAGATCTGAGTCAGATCTCAGTCAACTTAGGAAGTTTATTTTGCTGAATTTAAGGAGGCACGCCCATGACACGGCCTACGGAGGTCCTGATGACAAGGGCCCAAGGTGGTCAGAGCACAGCTTGGTTTTACACATTTTAGGGAGATATGAGACATCAATTAATACACGTAAGATGAACATTGGTTGGTCCGGAATGGCGGGACTACTCCAAGCAAAGGCAAGAGGGAGCTTCCAGGTCAAACAGTTGCATTCCCTTGAGTTTCTGGTTAGCCTCTCCAGAGGCGGTAATCAGATATGCATTTACCTCAGTGAGCTGAGAGATGACTAAACAGAAGGGGAGGCAGGTTTGCCCTAAGCAGTTGCCAGCTTGACTTTTCCCTTTAGCTTAATGATTTTGGGACCCGAAGATTTATTTTCCTTCCACATTTTTTTTTTTTTTTAAGTCAGACTTAAGGTCTCCCTTGATGTTAATGCCGGAGAAGTATAACAAGGCGTGTAACAAGGCACGTGCAACTCTTACTTCCCCTCAAGGCCAGAACAGTCTCTCAGGTTGAACTTCAGGGTTCCCTAGTAAAGGAGGGAGTCCAGTCCGCCGCGGCTGCCGGGGCCGGGTCGGGGGGGGGGGGGGGGTGGGGGGGGGGGGGGGGGGGGTGGGCGGACGGAACGCCGCGCCAGCCCGCCCTCACGCCACGCCCGGGGGGGTCTTCGAATTTTATTTCTGTTTTACAGGCATTAGTGCCACCCATTTCTCCTTAACCCCAAACTTCCTCTCCTCAAAACAGAAACGTCATCATTCTGCTTCCACTTGTCCAGAAGAAAGCAGAGGGCGCGCACTGAGCACCGCGGATGGGAAAGTTAACTGAATTATTTGAGGGAAGACACGAGGAGGTAGGGGTCCCCCAAGCCCCAGCCATTTTGTGGCTCCTACGGGTTGTCGCTTCCCAGGCCGTGAGGGGCCCAACCCCGCCCCCCGCCCCAGGTCGGCCTCCCGCCCCGCGCCCTGCACCGAGGGTCAGACCCCAAACCGAGCCCCCCGCGTCGGGGCGGGGCGGTTGGGGACAAGCTCCACACAAGGGGGCGCTGGGCCTCAGCTCTCAAGAGCGCGGGAAGCTCGGACGTGAAATGCGCTGCGCAGCCCAAGCTGCAGACGGTCTGTGAGCGGCGCGCCTGCGCGAGTCGAGGGCGGTGGCTCGGCTCCCCTGGAAGAGGGGGGCCGTCTGAGCACTGCGCCTGCGCGGGGCGCCGGACACTGGGCGGGACTTCTCGGCTGACGGCCTGCGTGCACTGCGCTTGCGCGGGTTGAGGGCGTTGGCTCAGGCTCCTGGAAAAGACCATCCGCCCCTCCGCGCTGGCGGTGTGGACGCGGAACTCAGCGGAGAAACGCGGCTGAGGTAGGTGTCCTGATGGGCCGCTCAGGTGACTGGACTGCACGTAAGGAAGGACAGGCCAGGTGAGGCGTCCTCGCACTGCGTGTGCGTCGCTGGCGGACAGAGGCCTCCGCCCCCTTCTGGGGCCTCCGAGCGCCTTCGCGACCTCTGCCACCTGCCCTGGCGTCGTAACGGGCGCTGGGTCCCCGTCACAGCCTTCCCTGAGCGCCGCGCCCCTTCCCGGCCACTCCCACCGTCCAGCGGCTTCCATGGCCTCGCCCTCTGCGGCCACGCCCACCCCACCATCTCTGCCACGCCCTTCGCGACCACGCCCACCTGCCTCACGGCCCCTGCCCCGTAGCTCGCGGCGCTCGCCCAGCCTGACCCTCTCGTGCCCCTGCGTCTACGCGCGGCCCCCTCGCTTCCTGCCCCCTTCTCACCCCCCTTCATTGGCTACTTGTTCCCACCCTCCATGATCCTGTTCCTTCCGAGGGCGTCTTAGGAGAGCTGGATCCTGCACGCACCCCGGCCTCCTCTCCGACCCCTTCCCAATTTGGACCCAGGTTTTCCAATGAAAATGTAATTATGTAAATCAGTAAGCATTTGTAACTACGAATATCACAAAAATAAGCTTCAAGTCTGGATTTAGAAGTGAAGCATGCATTTTAAACAAAGAATTGCAATGCAATTGAAAAAACACATTGATCCCAGAGCAGAGTGTGGATTACACTGTCACTGGAAAAATAAGAATTGAGAAGAAGGAAAAGACTGGAAGATGCAGACTTTGGTTCCTGTTAGTGGAAACACTGTAAAGTCCCGGGTAGGGACTTTTAATTGGAATTAAAGCTATCACAGTTCTAAGAAATGAATGAATACTGATTTATTGCCTTAAGTCGACACCTGATCTAACAGAAACTAACAGGCTTCAGCAAATGAATAAGATTAACACCTTTCAGACTAGTGAAGAAAACACACTATTTGAAGTTTATGATTTTTAAATGCTTTTGTCTCTGTAAAGAATTGTAAATTTTCATTTCTATACTATTCTTTACACATACACATTTTACTTCTATTTGGTAGACGACATTTATCATGCCCCTTAGAAGTTAAGGGAACTTAATTATTAAGCAATATAACAAGTACTTTGTGTCTCCTTCTCTTTTTAAAAGTAGAAATGGAGAAGAAAATGAAATAAAGCAGCAGTTATGAGGCAGAGCCTAAGAGAACTATGGCAACATCAGGTGACTGTCCCAGAAGTGAATCGCAGGTAATTTCGGTTCCAGTTCCTAAAAATCTGTGTTTAATGAATGTGAACATTACAGAGAGCTAAGTGTCAGCTCACAGATATGGTGGAGCTTGACTTGTACCTTGGAAGGTGGCCACCAGCAGCAGAATGCTTAAATGTGAAGATTGTGAGGCAGAGGAAACACAGTGTCTCTAAGGTGACATCCTGCATTGGGCACCATAACACTTCTAAGGAAATACTTAGGCCCTAAACATCACCATCATTTAGGGTTCCATTTTTGATATGTGAAATGGCAAAGCAAGCGTATTTTCTGAGCTGTTCAATACAATTTCAGGCATAATACCAGCAATATATTGAAGGCAAGTTGGACACATTAGAAAAGATTTATGTATTCATACTGTTTCTGCCTAGGGTACTCATGTAGTTTTGTTCAAGTTAGCAGTAAAAAAAAACCCTCAAATTTTAAGGAATGTTGATTGTGTAAAACTCACCAACTGAATAATAGATACTATTTTTAAACATTTCCGTATCTGTTATGTCAATTTTAATATTTTCTTTTTTTTCTCTTTCTTTCCAATGATCTGTTTTCATTTGGGTTTTTATATATAGGAATTTTATTTATAGTCAGCATCTTTCATTGATTTCTTTAATTATTCATAAAATGTTTTAATTCCGTGGACATCTTATTTTTCTTTTGATAAATTTAACAAATATTAGGACACTTCCAGAATGATATTGTAAACATCAAGTGCATTAAACAGTGTACATTAGGTTATATATATATATATTTATAAAATAAAAATACTGTCGGATGTGTCTGTAGTTCAGCTACTCAGGAGGCTGAAGCGGGGGGATCACTTGGGGCCAGGAGTTTGAGGGTGTTGTGTATTCTGATTGTGTCTGTGAATAGCCACTGCATTCCAGCCTGGCCAATAAAGTGAGACTTCATATCTTAAAAAAGAAAAAGCAACCGTCTAGATAAAGTTTGTTCCCCAATCTCAGTCCTATTTTTCCTCTTCTCTTTCTAGAGGCAGACACTACTGTGAATCCTGAATCTGTTTTGTGTCACTGCACCATTTTTTATACCTCTGTGGCTTATATAGATATCCTTGAATGACATATGATATTGTTTGTGTGTGCTTTTTAGAGTTTCCATAAGTGGTGTCATACTCTCAGTGTCACCTGTAGCTTGTCTATTCATTTAACTTTACCTTTGGGGAATTTGTCCTTGTTGATATGTGTGTAATGCTGGTTCAATCCTGCCACTGTAGGGTGCTCCTGTAGTGTATTCCTTCTCTGAAAGTGTAAAGTATCCTAGCTGTAATTACGTGTATGGGCCTGTTGCAGTCTCACTGCTATACAGTAGGCACATACCCCATTTTTCTTATTCCCCTTTTGTTGGACACAAGTTGTTTCTAGTTTTTTCTATTTCAAACAATGCTGTAGTGACCATCTTTCTCCATGCCTCTGTGCTCCAATAATGGCATTGCAGGGTGCAAAGGACCGCAAGTTTCAGTTTTACTGGGTAATGATCAGTTGTTTCCCACAATGACTTTACTAGTTCACAGGTCAGTAGCCCACAATAGTGCTTGCTAACACTTGACAGCATCAGACTTTTAAGTTTTGGTCAGTCTCATGGGTTAAAAAATGGTATCTTGTTACTTTAATTTTGCTGACTACTTAAGGGTCATGGTGGTACTTCAGTAATACGTGTGTTCATCCTGTTAATACTACCCTCCATTATAGAATAGATGTCTGATAATGGTAATTTGTATTTTATCTCCTTTTTTCCCACTTGATCAGTCTTTTTTTTAGGGTTTTATCAATTTTATTTTTATAAAGAACCAATTTTATCTGTGTTGATTTCTCTGTTTTTCTATTTCATTGATTTCTGCTTTTGTCTTTATTTCTTTCTGTTGTATTTGGGTTAATTTTTGTAGCATCTGAGAGAGAAGCTTAGATAATTGATTTTAAACCTTTCTTTAATAGTCTTTAAAGCTATGACTTTCCTCTAATCACTGCTGTAGCTATATGTCACATATTTAAATGCATTGCATTTTCATTATTCAAAATATTTTCTAATATATTCAGTGGAAATTAGAAATTTTCTGGACTATTTGAAAGTATGTTGACCAGTTTCTAAACATTTTGGAAATTTTACTTTTTCTTATTTAATTTTGCTTTAATTACCTTGGTTAGAGAACATAACATCCTCTATAATTTCAGTCTTTTGAAATTTATTCATACCTGCTTTATATTCTAATCATATGGAATATTTTGGTGAATGTTCCATGAGTACTTGCAAAGACTAAGTATTCTGCAGTTGTTGAGTATAGCATTCTATACATGCCATTAAGATCAAATGTGTTATTAGTATTGTTCAAAACTCTATGTCTTTTCTGATTTTTTTTTTGCCATTTTCTGTCAGTTACTAAAAATTCTCCACTATGATTGTAGATATATCTATTTTTCCTTTTGGTTCTATCACTTTTTGCTTTGTATATTTTGAGTCCCTGTTATTGGGTGTATATATTTAGTATAGGTTTTATTTTCCAGATTAATCAACCTTATTTTTTATAAAATATCTGTCTTTTTACCTGTTAATAAATACTTCTTTTCTTGCATGTACCTTTTTTTAGTGTTAATATAGCTATACCGGCTATATTATTATAGCACTCCAGCCTGGGTGACAGAGCGAGACTCCATCTCAAAAAAAAAAAAAAAAAAAGCCAAGCAAAGAAAGAGCCTGGGTGTGTGTGTGTGTATGTATGTGTGTACACAGGGGTTTGTGTATGACATGGGCATGGTGGGGGTGTGGAAGGCCGCACACCAGGGGATTAGTAAGGGTTGCCTGGGCTGGGTGGATCAGTGATGGGGTGGAGAGCAAGCAGAGGGCATTGCTGCCTTGTGAGTCATGCTCCTGGCATAGGGAAATATTCCCATTCTTAGGGAAATTATAGAAAATAAAGTATTTTCTATAATAATATACTTTATTTTCTATATAATAAATATAAAAATATTTTTATAATAATAAAGAGTGTGTGTGTGTATATATATATATTTTTTCCCTCCAGTCCTTATGTTTAAAGCATTTTTCTTGTAAAGAGCTAGTCGGGTCTAGCTCTTAGGTCTTTTTTTTGTCGCTCTGTTAAACACAATTTCTGCCTCTTAATTGGAGTATTTAGTCTATTAACATTTAATGTAATGACTAATATGATTAAGTGTAACATCTTGCTATTTTATGTTTGTCACATTTCTTTTTTATGCATGTCTGCATTCCTGCCCTCTTGTGGATTAATAAATATTTTCTATAATTCCACATTACCTCCTTTACTAGCTTGTTAGCTGTATCTTTTCATATTATTTTAGTGTTTTCCAAAGAAATTGCAATATGCATCCTCTCAATTTCAGTCTTTTTTTTTTAACCGCTTCATAAGGTAAAGATCTTATAAGTTAGTTTCATTTACCAGCACCCATATTTTTGTACTGTTGATGTATCATTTTAATTTTACATATGTTGTAAACCCCACAATAAATTGTCATTGTTGAGTCTTTTTTTAATAAAGTTAAATAGTCTTTTATGTTTCCCCACATATTATTTGCCTTTTTTGAGATCTTTCCTTTTTTCCTGCATTCTGTGTTTTCATGTAGGATCATTTCCCTTCAACCTGACAGCTATATGTTTATATTTACTAGTGTGAGTCTGCTGTGTCAAACTATGAAATGTGTTTTGCCTACATTTTTGAAGAATAGCTTGATTCGGGATTTTAGGTTTGCAGTTTTTATTTAACACTTTAAAGATGCCATTTTACTGTCTTCTGGCCTCTGTTTCTGATGAGAAGTCAGCAATATTTTACTGTTGTTCCGCTAAATGTAATGTATTCCTTTTTCACATTGGCTGCATTTAGGGATTTTTCTCATTTTGGGGTTTTTTACCAGTCTTCTTCTTGTTTTTCCCACTTAGGATTAGTTGAGCTTCTTGAATCTGTGAGTTAATGAGTTTTTGTTTGTTTTGTTTTGTTTTGTTTTGTTTTGACACGAAGTCTCGCTCTGTCACCCAGGCTGGAGTGCAGTGGTGTGATCTCAGTTCACTGTAACTTCCACCTCCTGGGTTCAAGCGATTCTCCTGCCTCAGCCTTCCAAGTGGCTGGGATGACAGACACGAGTAACCACGCCTGGCTAATTTTTTGCATTTTTAGTAGAGACGGGGTTGCACCATGTTCACCAGGCTGGTCTCAAACTTCTAACCTCAGGTGACCTACCCACTTTGGCCTTGATGATCTTTTTTTTGTTAATTTTGGAAATATCTCCACCATTATCTCTTCATTTATTTTTTTCTGCCTCATCCTCTCTCTTCTTTTTTGGGGTTGCCATGTAAACATAAGTTAGAATTTTTGCTGCTGTTTGACATGTCTCATGCTCTATTCTTATTTGGTTTTTGTTTGTTTGTTTGTTTGTTTTTCTTTTTGTGCTTCAGTTTGGAAAATTTCTGTTGACCTGACTCTTGAAGTTGCTGATCCTAAACAAGATAACTGGGAAAACAATATGTTTGTAAAAAAATTTCTTGAGATGTCAAATAGGATCTATATTATATGAAGAGTAGTCCCAGCTACTTGAGAGGCTGAGGTAGAAGGATTGCTTTAGCTTGGGAGGTGGAGATTGCCATGAGCCAGGATCGTGTCACTGCACTCTAGCCTGGGTGACAGAGGGTGACCTCATCTCAAAAAAAAAAAAAAAAAGTATTCTTCAACCTTGGCAATCTATCCCGCAGAAATAAAATGTCATCAGATAAGCTTATCTGTGCACAGACTTCTTTTGTTGCAGCATCAGTTATGGTGGTAGAAAACTGGATCCCAAGACAAAGTCTATCAATGGGGGATGGCTGAAGAATCAAGCGAAGTTCCTGCTATGGAATATCGTATAGCCATTGAAAGTAATAAATCAGGGTTCTGACAGTTGGAGAGTTTTTCCAGAAGGTATTGTGTAAGAAAAGCAAAGTGCAGTTCAGGCTTGGTGGCCCACGCCTGTAATGCCAGCACTTTGGGAAGCTGAGGTGGGCAGATCACTTGAAGTCAGGAGTTCGAGACCAGCCTGGCCAACATTACAAAACCCCATCCATTTCTACCAAAAATGCAAAAATTAGCCAGGCATAGTGACACACACCTGTAGTCCCACCTCTCGGGAGGCTGAGGCACGTGAATTGCTTGAACTGGGGAGGTGGAAGTTGCAGTGAGCCGAGATTGTGCCACTGCACTCCAGCATGGGCGACAGAGCGAGACTCCATCTCAAAAAAAAAAAAAAAAAGCCAAGCAAAGAAAGGGCCTGGGTGTGTGCGTGCGTGTGTGTGTGTGTGTGTGTATATGTGTACACAGGGGTTTGTGTGTGACATGGGCATGGTGGGGGTGTGGAAGGCCGCACACCGGGGGGTTAGTAAGGGTTGCCTGGGCTGGGTGGATCAGTGATGGGGTGGAGAGTAAGCAGAGGGCAGTGCTGCCTTGTGAGTCATGCTCCTGGCATAGGGAAAAGCACAAAGGGTACAAACAGGCAGTTAACAAGGTAAAAAAAGATGCTGGCAAGTATTTTAAAAACGTCTAACCACACAAAGAGAGGCAAATGGAAGTAAGAAAGTGATTTTTACCCATCAAATTGACAGAGACTAAAGTGATTGGTATCTATTGAGAGTGTGGGAAGATTGGCTGTTCCCTTTCAGCAAGCAGCCCAAGGAACACCTTACTGGAGGGCACTGGGTGGTAAAACCAAAAGCCGTAAAGTAAAGTACGCATAGTCTCCGTCCATCAAGTTCATGTTCAGAGACTTACCCTAAGAAGATTAAGGTACATGCAGAATGATTTATGTTGAAGGAAGTTCATCTTAACGTAATTTAGAATAGTAAAAACTGAGAAGTCCAAATGTACGAGACTAGGAAACTGGATAGGTAAGCCATGATAATTCACAGACTGGAATACTCGACAGATACTAAATAGTGTTAGAAGTCTATTTAATACGAAAAATGTTCAGAGTTTATAGAATGAAAACCATAGGTCACAGGCTTATTGTGTGAACCCAGTGAACGCTTTGTACTTGTGTTACATGTCCACTTTTTTAAAAGTCTGAAAGTATAAATACCAGTGTGCTGTCTGTTATTATCTGTGATCAGTGAGTGAAATTACAGTGAAATTGTCTTCTGTGTACTTGGTGTTTTCACACATTTTCTAAAGTAAACACGAATTACTTTTATGCTTAGGAAAATGTGTTTAAAGTGTTTGTGTTGAGACAGGGTTGATTCATTGAACTGGAGTGTGTGATTTGAGGTTCTGCCCTCTGCAGTGATGTCTTCCAGGCAAACTTATTCTTGTATAAAGTGGACGGCCAGGCATGGTGACTCATGCCTGTAGTCCTAGCACTTTGGGAAGATGAGGCAGGTGGATTGTCTGAGCCCAGGATTTCGAGGCCAACCTCGGCAACATGGCAAAACCCCATCTCTACTAAAAATACAAAAAATTAGCTGGGTGTAGTGATGCACACCTGTAGTCCCAGCTACTTGGGAGGCTGAGGCATCAGAATCGCCTGAACCTGGGAGGCAGTAGAGGTTGCACTGAGCTGAGATCATGCCAGCCTGGGCAACAGAACTAGACTCTGTCTCAAAAAAAAAAAAAAAAAAAAAAGGAGGGGTTGGGGGAGGCTCCAAGGAACCATGTGGGTCCAAGCTGGGCTCTGCTGCCTCATGGAAGTTTGTGCCCTGCCATCAGCTCTTTCCACAGGCCCCTGGCTGTGCCTGCCTGGGACGCTGGGCCCCCGGCTCTGTCCTCACACTGGTTTCTCTTCGTGGGGTTGATGATCACGTTCAGGAAGCATGGCCGATGAAGGACAAGGGCTCCTCACCAGATAGACACTGGCAGTGCCTGTTTCTGACTTCTTGCTTTGATGTTCTCTTTTAGGGTCCAACTCATTTTTTTTTTTAAAGAAATTTAGAGTGAAGGTGACAGCCTTTGATTATAGTAGTAAAGATGATCCAAATGGTTTGTATAATAAATACTTGGACACATGAATCTGTATTTGAAATTTGAAACCATCCTAATAACATAGCCAAAAAAAAAAAAAAAAAAGCTCCCACGTCCTCTCCTCACCCTCTCCTTGTTTTTGAGCAGGAAGAAGAGCCTGCTGAGTACAGTGAGGCCGGTCTCCTGCAGGAGGGAGTACAGCCAGAGGAGTTCGTGGCCATCGCAGACTATGCTGCCACTGATGAGACCCAGGTAGCCATGCGTGGTGGACAGTGCTTTGTGGTTTTCAGTATGTTCAGTGGCAAAATGAGATAAATTTTGCAGAAGTCATATCAAAGTTAAATGAAGAAGTATTCAGATGCTTAGGGCCACACAAGACCTGGGTGTGAAGCTCACAGCCTAACCGGTACTGCCCCAAGCACATGTGAAAATACCAGGTGTGGAGTGGGGACCCTCAGCCAGGGGCAGAAGCACCTGTTCTGGTTTCTACTTGGAATTTAGAACCCACCCAGTTGATGAAAAGTAAGGCTACCAAATATATCAAGCTATATCTCCTTGGATGTAGCTTCGTTGACTTTGTGACAGGAATTTCTTAGCCTAAGCCTCCAGTAAGTCAGTTGGCATAGTTGAGTTACAATGAAGAGGCTGTTGAGAAATTCTCTCCTAAGCCTTTTGAAAATGTTTACTCCTTTTTTTAAAAAATACCAGTTAAGCTGTGCCCTCCTTTCAGGTAGACGTTCCAGAGGTATCGCTAAGTTGTGGTGTCACTTGCAAACGTTCTTAGTTGCTGTCATTACCCACTGACTGCTGTTGGAAATCTCTGTGATTTTGTCACCATCGGTGGGATTTATTACTGAGCCACACTTGAAATACCAATGACTGGTTTTCTTATTGAATTGAATTTTAACTTTTTTTTTTCCAGCTCAGTTTTTTGAGAGGAGAAAAAATTCTTATCCTGAGACAAACCACTGCTGATTGGTGGTGGGGCGAGCGTGCGGGCTACTGTGGGTACATTCCAGCAAACCATGTGGGGAAGCAGATGGATGAGTACGACCCCGAAGACACGTGGCAGGATGAAGAGTACTTCGGCAGCTATGGGACTCTGGTATCGTTTTCTTAATTCCCTGTTCAGCTGGCCAGGCGGTGGGTTCTCTCTAGCTTTAGTTCCTACTGCGTCGTTCAGAGCAGGCCCATAGTCTTGCAGGCCGGAGCGTCTCTGTTGCGGCCACTCAGCTCTGACATGGTTGTGTGGAAGCCACTGTGGATGACACACAAAGTGTACAGGGTTGTGTTCCAATAAAACTTTATTTATGGACCCTGAAATTTGAATTTATACTATACAGTTTTCATGTGTCACAAATTATTCTTTTGATTAAATGATTTAAAAGTGTAAAAACCATTGTTAGTTTGCAGGCCATCCAAAAACAGGTGGTGGGCTAGATTTGGCCCGTGGCTTAGTTTGCTGACCCCTGGCGTAGAGATACGATTTTGAGCAGTGAGATTATGTGCATGTTCTCTCAGCATTTTTTTTTAAAGTGGTAAATTTTACTTTAAAAATGAAATTAGACTGGGCGTGGTGGCTGACACCTGCAATCCCTACGCTTTGGGAGGCCAAGGCAAGAGGATCGCTTGAGGCAAGTGTTTAAGACCAGCCTGACGACATAGTGAGAAAAAATTAAAAATATAATTTGTCTCTACAAAAAACTATATATATATAATTAGCTGGGCGTGGTGATGCATGCCTGTAGCCCCAGCTACTCGAGAGGCTGAAGTGGGAGGATGGCTCAAGCCTTGGAGGCTGAGGCTGCAGTGAGCCATGATGGTGCCATAGCACTTCAGCCTGGGCTACAGAGCGAGAGCCTGTCTCAAAAAGAAAAAAAAAAAGAAATAATTCTATAAATCTGTGAAGAATAATACTTAGGTCAGGTGTGGTGACTCATGCCTGTAATCGCAGGACTTTGGGAAACTAAGGTCAGAGCATCACTTGAAGCCAGGAGTTCAAGGCTGCAGTGAGCTATGATTGCGCTACTGCACTCGAGCCTGGGTGATTGAACCAGACTCTGTCCCTTAAAAAATAATAAAAGCCCAACTTCTAAACAGCTTACTGAATTTTTTTTCCCCACCATAGAGAAATTGCCTATAACCTGACGGTCTAGGCAACAATCTCTGATTACATTTTAAAACTAGATGAAAACAGTTACTTGCAGGGTGAATGTTATAAAAATAATGTTAGGTGAAAGAAGGAATAGGGCAAAGAATCTGTAACATTTGACTCAATTATATAAAGTTAAGAGGCCACATTAGAAGGTTTTTTGTTTGTTTGTTTTGAGACAGAGTTTTGCTCTGTTACCCAGGCTGGAGTGCTATGGCGGGATCTCGGTTCACCGCAGCCTCTGCCTCCTGGGTTCAAACAATTCTCTTGCCACAGCCTCCTGTGTACCTGGGACTACAGGTGCGTGCCACCATGCCTGGCTAATTTTTGTATTTTTAATGGAGGGGGTTTCACTATGTTGGCCAGACTGGTCTCAAACTCCTGGCCTCAAGTGATCCTCCTGTCTCAGCCTCCCAAAGGGCTGGAATTACAAGCATGAACCATTGTGCTCGGCCAGAAGGTACTGTTTGTGAGTGCGCCTGGGTGGTGAGACTGAGGGTGGGAGTGGCTCCCCTGAGAGTTGGTTGGAGGTTACGTGCTGGTGGGGGAGGCTTTGGGACCAGCGTGGCTGAGTCAGAAGTTCTGACGTGCTGGCAGTGTTCTGGGGTTGGATATAGATATAGAGTTGTTTGGATATAGAGGTGTTTGCTATATAACTATACTTAATAAACTGTGCAGATACTTTTTATTGCTTTTTATTGCACTTTTTTGTAGGCATGCCATATTTCACAGTTAGAAGTGTTAAAAACTATTCATGTCTGTACATGGTTAGTGATTTCTATCCATTAAGGAAAGATACATAATGAAAGGCCAATGCCAGCCTCCCAGCTCTGCCGCCTCTCAGCTCAAAGAACCACTGCCCACCAGATTCCTCTGTGCTTATGAAGTCCAAGTGACACCTAATTTATTTTATGTTTTTAATGTATAGAAAAGGCATTGTTCCAACACTCAGGTCTTCACCTTGCTCTTTTCACGTAGCTGTATTATTTTGAAGATCTCTCATGTTGGCACCTGTCGCTCTTTATAACAGCTGCAGAGCATTGTGTTACTCTAAAAGGATCCTGTTGCTATTTGGACAGTGGTTATTTAACAGCTTTTTATCATGATAAATAATGCTGTAATGGAGTCCTATATAATCCTGTTAAATGCTGTTTAGAATTTCTGTAGGGTAAATTCCTGGGGCGGGTGTGTGTGGTGTGTGTGTGTACACGTGTGGTTTCCTTAAGTGGATGTTGCCAATCTGCCCTCCAGAAAGATTTGCTAAGTACACACGACTAAGTGTGTAATTTAAGTTTGTGCTGCTGTAACAAAATACCTTAGACTGAGTAAATTATGAAGAACAAAGCTTCGTTTCTCGCAGTTCTGGAGGCTGGGGGGGTACTGGCATTGGCGTCCAAGATGGCGCCTCATGGCTGTCCTCACGGTGAAGGTGGGAGGGCTGGGAGTGCCTCTTCCACCACAAACCCTTTCATAGTAACCTCCAAAGGTGGCCTCTTAGTGCCATCACACTGGCGATTAAGTTTTAGCACATGGATTTTTGGGGACAGTTCAGACCACGGCATGGATCCGCTGACGGTGTGTGAAAGCCCATTTCCCTACCACAAATGGAAGTGAAAAAGGACTTTGATCTTAAAGGTTAAATATGGCGTCTTTTAATTTTGATTTCCATTTTTTAAGTAAGATTGATCATCTTTTATGTGTTTGTTGGCCTTTTGTATTTTTCTTTTTTTGTAAACTTTCATATTATTTGCCCCTTTCTTTTGATTTTTGTTGATTCATGTGTTAATTTAGCCTGAATTTGTGAATTTTTGTGACTGTGTGAAATTTTTTCCCACATAGAACTTTTTTCTTTGTGTAGCCTAATATGTTTTCTTTTATTTGTGATTTCTTTTTGTTTTCTTTGTGAAAAACCTTCCTCACTATAAGATTATAAATACCCACACTTTTTTTTTCAGAACTGTTATGATTCTATGTTATTTTTACTTTTTATGTTTTTTAGAAATGGTGTCACACTCTGTCGTATGACTGGCTGGGGTGCAGTGGTGCAATCATAGTTCACTGTAGCCTCAAACTCCTGGTGTAAGGGACCCTCTCACCTCAGCTTCCCAAAGTGCTGGAATTACAGGGGTGAGGCACCCCGCCTAGCCTTCTGATCCTATTTTAAACTGTGAGATTTCAAATCAATCTATAACTTATTCGTTGTAAAAAATATAATGTAAAATTCTGCCCTAATTTATGCCACAAATATCCAGCGATCCCAGCCTCAGTTACTGGACAGTTCCCTTCCCATTGATGTGAAATGCTGCGTTTGTCGTGCTCTGGATTTCAGGGGTCTGCTGCAGAATCGCTGCTGTTTCACTGCTCTGTTTACTGCAGCTCCCAGTGGTTCATCATTTTCATCATTGCACCTTTGTAGATCTGCAAGAGCTAGGTGTCCAGCAGTTCTTTTTTTTTTTTAAAGCATTTTCCTCATTAGCCTTGGGCACTTACTGTTTTGAAACTAATTTTATTATTCTGTTGTGCTTCCTCCTTTAGTAGGTACTACATGGAATGTTTATGTTAATTTTGGGAGAAGTAACATCTTTATAACATTGATTCTCAGTCTCCCATTACTTCAGCTTTGTTTAATATCTTTTAGCATTTTAAGATAAGGATAATCCCTCTTTATCATACATGGTTTTACACTTTTCTTGTTCAGTTTGTTCCTAGATATTTTTTATTATCACTATTATAAGGGGTTGGGTGAAGTGTCCTCTAAATACCAATGAGATTGACTTGGTTGACAGTGATGTCCAGGCCTTCCACAGTCTTACCAATTTTTCTGTCGTCTTCGGTCGGTTACTGAGAGCATACTGTTGAAACCTCTGGTGATAACTGTGAATTTATCTGTTTCTTCTTGCATCTGTATTGGTTTTGCTCTATGTATTTTGAAGATCTGTTTTTAGGTACAGAAATATTTAGAATAATCATGTCCTCTGGGTGAATTGATTCCTGTGTTGATGTGAACCGATGGGAACCTGGTTTGCTCTGAACTGTGTTCTGTATGGTGCTGACGTAGCTGCTCCAGCTCTGTCTCCATTGGTGTTGGCACTGTAGGCCTTTCCCATCCTTTGCTTCCGGGCAGGAGAGTTGGGCCTTGCTTTGTTGTCTGTGCCTCCCACCTCCTCCCACCTGTCCCTTTGTTTTTTATTCTGCGCAGTCTTGGGAGGCTCCAGGGTGGGCTCTGAGGGCCTCGTGCAGGCTCCTGTCTGCTGGTGTGGTCTGGGCGGTCCTCGCTCTGCTCCTGGCTGCTGCCTGTCTTCTTTCTGGCGATGCTGTTTCTACGCTGGGCCTTCTGCAGCTCGAGAGTGCTGGTGGGAGGGGTGCAGCCTCTCCTCCAGCCCGTGGCTTTGCTGGCTGCCCTGAGCAAGCCTTTCTCTGCCTCCTTTCGGGGTGGCTGATTCTCATGTGGGTGTCCTTGGGTTTCAGGCATTTTCCTCCCTCAGGACAAGGCTGGGTCTCTCGCTTATCCCTCGGGTCACTCCCCAAGAACAGGAGGGGTGAGCTCATGTGTGCAGAGGACTTTGGGGGACCCCCTGCCCACCTACGCTGGCCCCTCTCTCATGGTGTATTGCTGTTTTCTGTAGTCGGACACCTGGCCCTGGGGAGTCTCGTTGGGATGCGGTGGTCCCTCCAGCCTCAGTGGTCCGGGCGACACTGCACCCCTGTGTGCACAGTGCTCCCTCTTGCCTGTCTGCTCGCCCGGCCATGCTGTGCTGAGCTGAGGGACTCCAGAAGCCTGTACTGTTGCTCTTGTGTTTCGCTCATATTTTTAGATGTGGGGTGGCGGGGTCGGGGGTCATCAGCTGTGGCTCTGACCCTCCATCTCAGTCCAGAACTAGGTCACAGGCAGTGATTCCGAATGTGCATTTCTTCCAGAAACTCCACTTGGAAATGTTGGCAGACCAGCCACGAACAACTAAATACCACAGTGTCATCCTGCAGAACAAAGAATCCCTAACGGATAAAGTCATCCTGGACGTGGGCTGTGGGACTGGGATCATCAGTCTCTTCTGTGCACACTATGCGCGGCCTAAAGCGGTGAGTGGCGTCTCGAATGCGTCCCAGGTGTTTGTGCCAAGGCTGGTGATGTCCGAGGTGGCCTCTGAGTGTGCTCACTCGTGACCCTGCGCTGTTGAGGGCTCACTGATGACTCCGTGGTGTTGGTGAGCATCCTTGCAAGTGTCGCTCAGGGTCGGTAAAACAGCAGTGTGTTGAGACTGCATGCTAGAGGCTGTGGCGCCCACGTAATGAGTCACAAACAGCACAGACAGGAATAGAGCAGAATAGAAAATATCCCATGAATTGCACAGGGCGGGGTATGTTCTGTGAGACATTTATTTCAGTTGAGTAGACAAACAGGTGCACCCACATGTCTGTGCTGGGCCTTGGGTATGGATGGTCCCATGGGGATGGGATGGGTGCACACGCTGGGCCCCCTCCCCACTCCTCTTGGGCCGTCTGTGCTGTGCTGAGCTGAGCCGAGCTGCAGCCTTGGGGACTCCTTACACAGTGGGTGGGGTCGCAGTACAGTGTCCACCCAAGTCCAGGCTCTGCAGGACCCAGGGCCCAGCACTTGGGCACTTCCCACCAGACCCTTCCCTGAGACCCTGGGTTTGAAACTGTCTCACAGGCCTCAGATGTGGCACAGACCAGCATTGTCACTTGGGTGCTCAGAACTTGCTGTGCTGGTCATGGATTAAGATTGCTGTGCGTGTGGCAGCCGACTCGGGCATGCGAGGCTTCCGCCCACTTGCAGCCCTGCGTCTGTGTCTTGTGCAGGAGGTGGGGGCAGTCGGGAGGGTTAGAGGCGGCCCCTTTCTGGGTGTCCCTGGAGGGGCAGGTGTGGCCCAGCCCTCGCTGTCTCTGCTGTCTGGAATGCTGCTTCCCTCTTGTGTCATTGACCATTTCTCGTATGCTGGTTGTGACTCAGGAGAGTAGATGACGGGCTGTGTGCAGGTCGGGCGTGCACTGACGGTGCTTCTGCTGCTGCAGGTGTATGCGGTGGAGGCCAGTGAGATGGCACAGCACACGGGGCAGCTGGTCCTGCAGAATGGCTTTGCCGACATCATCACCGTGTTCCAACAGAAGGTGGAGGACGTGGTACTGCCCGAGAAGGTGGATGTGCTGGTGTCCGAGTGGATGGGGACCTGCCTGCTGGTGAGGGCGGTCGTGCGGGCAGCTGGGGGCCAGGGCTGGGGGGGCTTCTGAGCACATGCTCGGCTGGGCCAACCTCAGGATCTCAAGAGTCCTGCATGATTCATTCTGATGTTTTCCCTATTGTGAGGTATAATTAATTTCTTGTGTGGACATTGGCTCAGTGTCTTGAATTTTCACCTGATTTAAAAAATGCCTTTATGAGAAATTTAAGTCAAAGTTCATGTAACATTTTCATGAGTGATTTACATGAACTGTGTTCTCGGGAATCTGTAAAAATCCTGTGCCTAACAGGTAAGGCTGTTTCTTTAACGCCAGTAGGGCCTTCGTCCCTGGCCAGGGTCGTCTCACCTTAGACTGGCCCCAGTGACGCTGTGAAGCCACTTGGGCATCTGTGGGGCCACCATGTGCCTGGCCTGGCCTGGATCGTTCACCCTGAGTTTCGCATGTGGGTGGAAGTGGACTGTTTTCTGGTTGCTTGCGAATATGCCCTGCACAAACACTGTCTGCTTGGAAGGAAAGTGACGGGAGTGTGGCTGGATGCTGTCTGCCCGGTGCTCTCCTCCTGGGCTCAGCATCCTGGAACACAGGACATCGGAGTGGAGCATCCCAACCTGAAACTGCGTCTCAGTGTAGAGACCCAGAAAGATGGGGTCTGGGTGAAGGAGTGTGAAATATGGCTGTTGCTTCTCCAGGAAACGGTTTCCCGTGGTAACAGATGGCATTGGCTTTTAGTCCTGTTGAAATTTTGTTGTCAGAAGATAAATGTAAATAGATTCAATGTCCATGCTGTGACTTGGCTTATTAATAACATCTGTGGAGCCATAAGGTGACACACTAGAGAAACGGGCTCCACTCCCAATCCCTGAAGGGGCTTTCACCTTTGCCCCTGAACAGCTGTGCCCATTCAGTAAGTGTCTGTTGACAGCTCGTGCCTGGCTATGGGGACAAAAAGAGGACAGAAGAGGAGTGAGGCTGTGGTGAGGCCAGGGGTGTGTGGGCACTGATGTGGGGAAGCCTGGCTGCTGCGGTGTCCGGCTGTGCCCTGGGTTGGGTGAGAGGGACACAGGAGGGATGCGGGGCAGAGGGAGGGGAGAGGAGTAGCCACTGTGTTCACCATGTTGCTGTGTTCCGGGGCTGCCCAGTGGCCGGATTGGCCAGACTGTGTTGCATCAGGGAGGCAGAGGCCAGATGTAGGGTACTGTGTGTCTGAGGACTTTGTGCCACATCCTGGACACCGAGGGGAGTGCCAGTGGTGTGTGTGAGTGATAGAGTAAGAGGTGGGCTGTGTTTTGGAGGCCCCTGGGTATGTGTGGCCGGGACTGGAGGCCAGGGACTGGCTGTGGTCCAGCCCCAGCATGCAGAGGCCTAGGACAGCCTGTGTGAGGGGAGGCCCCTCTGTGTGGGAGGTGCACAGACTTCCAGGACTGACTGTGGCTTTACTGTCAAGATGCAGGAGCCAGGGCTTGGCATGGCACAGGTGTGGAGATGCAGAGCAGGGCCAGCAGGCAGGATGTGCTGTTGGGGGCCTGGCGTGAGCAGGACGGTGCCTCCCAGCCCTGATCTGCAGGGAGTGGGCCACCAGGACGGGCTGGGGGCCAGGGTAGGGAGGACCTTGGGGAGGGTGAACATCTGTGTGGGTCTTGAACACAGGACGCCCATCCGATGTGCAGGGCCAGCTGTTGATTGGGCAGGGGGGACATGGCTGGGGTCTTGGTGGGCGTTGGCCTGGAGGGGCCACCCTGAGCAGGACTTTCGGAGGAATGCTGGGGCAAGTTCAGACAGGACCATGTGGTGTTTTTCTCCTGTGCAGGCAGTGCAGGGGGTAGGCGGAGCTTTGCAGGTGAGGGCTTGAGGCAGCTCCGACTTCAGACTCTCCCTGGGGGGATTGAGGGAGCACCACCATCATTACTCAGCCCAAGGAGGCCCAGAACAGGGCAGATGGGGCTGCAAGAGTTCCTGTGGTGATAGTTATTGGGGTACAGGGTTGGGAGGCTTTGAGGGAGGGAGGGTGTGAATTTGGGAGTTGTTGATGCAGCTGCACCCACCTCCACTTTCCGTCCCCAGGCTGCCCCTCTCCTGAGCTGCCACATTCTTCCCTGCACCTGTGCGTCTGGCCCCCTTCACGTCCTCATTGCCTGCTGTCTGCCTTTCCCCTGCACCTGTGCGTCTGGCCCCCTTCGCGTCCTCATTGCCTGCTGTCTGCCTGTTCTCAGAGCCCCTCAGCCCTCAGTCCTTCATCTCTAATGGTCCATCTTCCTACTTGGACGCTGACATGTAGTAAAAGTCTGAGACAGGGAAGAGTGCATGTGCGTTTAGCATAGGAGGGGCAGCTTTCAGTCAGTGCAAGGGCATGTAGTTATTCAGAGATGGTGCTGGAACGATTGATTTGGAGAAAAGAGTCCCTTCTTCACACCATCTGCTAAAATAAACCTCAGATGGGCTCAAGAGTTAAATATTTAAGAAAAGGAGGAGACATAAAAAAATTGCTAAAAGTTTATCTGTTGTTAGGATGGGAAAGGTCTTTCTAAGATCCAAGTTCATAATGAAGCTGTCAAATAAAATATTTGACAAAAAATTCCCCTTCATACATTAGCACAGCTAAAAGTTATTAAATGGTAAATGAAACTAAAGAATTGCAGCTTGCGTGACATAAAGAGTTGCAATAAGAAAAACATAAAAAGATACCTCATGGAAGGTGAGTAGGGGCTAGAAAGGCAGAGAAATGCCAGAGGCCAGAAGCGTGAACATTGTTTAATGTCACCAGCAATTTAAAAGTAACCTTAATAGTTTTGACCTGGGAAATTGGCTGAGCAGTCCTCTAATATCTGATGCTCCCCATGCTGAGGTTGTGGGGAAATGCATACTGCCGTACATTTTTTGTCAGTGTGAATTGATAAAGCCTTTTCAAGGAAAATAGGGCAGAATAAGTCAAAGAGCATTACAGTTTTTTTGTTCTTCCATATTTTATTATTCCAGACGCAGCAAAGTTCTGAAGGAGAGGCAAGTAAAGATACCACAGGTTTCCTAGATTGTCAGCAGACCATTTAATCATTTTTGTTAACAAAGCAGGTGACAGTGGAGCCCTAATTTGCGTGATCATTAGTTGTTACATGATCTTGCTTGTTCTCCGGAGGACACACTCAGCAGTCTCCCACTAGCCAGTGGCACTGTAGGTGCAGAGGCTGCCTCCTGGATTTCAGGACGCTTCGCAGGGTCACTGAGGGTCTCCGTTACACATTTGGTAGAATTCAAAGACTGCCAGACTCAGTCTTACTGTTGTTAGTGTATTAGTGCTGTCATATGTGATGAGGACATACTATATTCCGTTATTCTGTTTAGCTCAAGGAAGAATAAAGAATTTGGACCAAAATTCCAACCACATTATGACCAATTTTCTTTTTTTTTTTTTTTTTTTTTTTTTTTTTTTTTTGAGACGGAGTCTCGCTCTGCCGCCCAGGCTGGAGTGCAGTGGCGCGATCTCCGCTCACTGCAAGCTCCGCCTCCCGGGTTCACGCCATTCTCCTGCCTCAGCCTCCTGAGTAGCTGGGACTACAGGCGCCCGCCACCTCGCCCGGCTAATTTTTTGTATTTTTTTAGTAGAGACGGGGTTTCACCGTGTTAGCCAGGATGGTCTCGATCTCCTGACCTCGTGATCCGCCCGTCTTGGCCTCCCAAAGTGCTGGGATTACAGGCTTGAGCCACCGCGCCCGGCCTATGACCAATTTTCTAAGCAAAAGAAATGAAGTAACTGCTGAGGTTAACAAAGATGTAATAATTCTCTTCACACAGCCTTGTACTGTTTTATGGACTGTATTATCACAAATGCTGAGCTTAACAAAAATCCTTATAAGTCAGCTCATGAAAACAGGCACGTGGCCAATAAGAATTTAATTTCACACCAATAAAACTTTAGACTTTGGATTATTTAGGGTTGTTTGCACATATTTATAGAATGTGTAGTTTAGGTGATGGGACAGCTCCCCATCAGTAAGGCCCTGGCTGAAATGTATTTGCCTTATTTACACAACAAGAGGATGAGAGTAAACACGGCACTTTCCATTTGTGGCACTGAAGGACGATCTACACAGGGCACCCTGCAGAGGCCACAACCAAGGCCACCTGGCTTCCCAGTGGGACAGGCCCAAGGGAGGACTTCTGGCCCCTTTACTTGTCGTTCATGTTTTATGCCTTGATGTTTCTTTTTGGTTGCATCCCTGGAGCTCATGTAGATGATTTTACTTTTCAGAGGTGCTAGTCCTGGTGCCCACACACACACACAAAACCATCAACTCTTCTGGATTCCTTGGTTTTAGAGCTTGCCTCATGCAAAGTGCAGAGGCATCTTTTTCAGGAAACATTGCCACCACATGCTTGAAGGACCACTTATGGCTGCACCTACATCTCCAACCAAGATCTCTTCACCGCCTTCTACAACAACGCACTTTGTCTGCACTGAGACAAAAAATAACAGCCTTTTTTCTTTTCTTGATTTTTTTTTTTTGGGGCCTGGAGCATTTCCGAACTTTCACGTCATAAAAAATGCAGCATAGTTAATTGGCAGCTAGCACTTCTGAAGGCACATTCACCTCAGGGGAGGAGGAAGGAGGAGTCGCTGGTGTGTGCTGAGATTGCAGAGTGTCCTCCTTCCCAGCAGCTGGACCCAGAGACCAGGCACCAAAAATTTTTTGATGAAATTATCCTAAGGAAATAATCAAATTTGTACAGAAATGTATGTTAAAAAATGTTTATGGCAGCACCATTTAAAATGGGGAGAAAATGGAAACAATAGAATTGTAGCAATATGTATGATCATTAAAAATTATGTTTTAGAAAGATTTTTAACAAACTTTGGAAAAAGTTGGTGACATTTTGCTGGTTTTTAGAAAAGCACAGAAAGTATGTACAGTATGATTCCAATTTTGTGTTTAAAAATTAGACATAGTGGTAACCTAGCTTCAATTCCAGGTAAGATGGAGAAGGCACACCCCTGTCATCTCTCCCACTGAGTGCAGTTATAAATCCTGGAGAACAGACAGGGAGAAACTATTTGAGGACTCTGGAACAAAGACGTAGTAGCAGTTGATTGGTGAAGAAGACAAGAATTTGAAGTACAGTCAAATATGTGTGGGCTCCATATCTGCAGATACAACCTACATGTATTGAAAATATCTGAAAATAAAAATAATAACACAACAATAAACATCAATACAAATAACAAACCAACACAGTAACTAACAGCTAGTTACATAACATTGACATTGTATTAGGTAGAAGTAATCTAGAGATGATTTAAAGTCTGTCGGAGGATGTGTGTAGCCTGTATGTAAAAACCACATTATTTTATATGAGGGACTTGAGCATCCAAGGATTTGAGTATCCACGGGGATCCTGGAACAAGTCCCCCATAGACACCAAGGAACAACTGTATTCCTGAAATACTCTTGAGTTATCATTTTCCCTCTTCTCCCTCTATGTACATACATAGAGTGTATGCACATAGAGTGAGAAGCAAAGAAGGTCCATGAAATGGACCAGTTCTTTTGAAAACTGCCAATTACCACAGTTCATCTAACATGAAATAGATAGCCTGAATGGTCCAATAACTAGTAAAGATATTGAATTAATAGTTTAAAAACCCTCTGAAAGGTAAATCTCTAGCCTAAATGATTTCACTGGTGAATTCTGTCAACACATTTAATGAAGAAAAAGCTTCCAATTCTAAACAACTTCTTTCAGAAAAGAAGAGGGTACACTTCTTCACTCATTATATGAGGTAAGTGTTGCCCTAATATCAAAACCAAGGTTAACACAAAATGTGAAACCTACAGACCAATAACCTTCATGAACGTAAATGTAAAAATCCTCAAGAAAGCATTAGCAAATTTAAACCAGCAGGATATAAAAGGAATAATAATACACCATAACAAAAAAGGAAACTATCCTTGGAATGCAAGGCTGGTTCAATATTTGAAAATCAATCAATGTAATCTACCATATTAACAGTCTGAAGAAGAAAAATCATGACTATATCAATTAATATAGAAAAAAATTGACAAAATTCAACATCAGTTCATGATAAAATACTTAGCAAACTAGAAATGGAAGGAAATTTAACATGACATAGGACATCTACAAAAAAACCTACAGAAAATCCTAAGGAATCTATGAGAAAACTTCCTAAAACTAGTAACGGAGTTTAACAAGATCACAGAGTGCCAGATCATCATACAGAAGTCATTTTTGTATCTTTGCAGTGTACAATTAGAAATTAAAGAATATCATTTACAGTAGCTTCAAAAATATGAAAGGCTTAGAAATCTAACAAAACATGATCTGGATGCCGAAAATGATGAGATGATAATGAAAGAAATCCCAGAAAACCTAAATAAATGGAGAGATAAGGCTCAACCTAGTAAAGATGTATGTTCTTCTTAAATTGATCTGTAGACTTAATAAAATTCCAATTAGAATCCAAGCAGGATTTGTTCTTATAGATAAGCTCATTATGAAATGTATATGGAATGTAAAGGAACTAGTGCTATGGTTTGTCCCCACCAAATCTTATGTTGAAATTTGATCCTCAGTGTGGTGGTGTTGGGAGATGGGGCCTAGTGGGAAGTGTTTGGGTCATGGGTGTGGATCCCTTATGAATAGATGAATGCCCTTCCTCGTGGGTAAATAAGTGAGTTCTCGCTCTCTCAGGTCCCAACAAGAGCTGGTTGTGAAAAAGAGCCTGGCACCCCCACTTGCCTCTGCTCTGACCCTGTGGTCTCTGCATGTGCCAGCTTCCCTTTGCCTTCCTTCCACTGTGAGGGAAGCAGCCTGAAGCCCTCACTAGATGCCCAATCCTGAACTTTCCCAAAGAGCAGAACCATGAGCCAGATAAACCTCATTTCTTTATAAATTACCCAGCCTCAGATATTCCTTTTTGGCAACACAAAAATGGACTAAGAGAACTGGAGTAGCTGATACAATTTTTAAAAAGAAGAGTAAAGTTGGAGGAACTACACTACTTGATTTTAAAGCTACAGTATTCAGGACAGTGTGGTATTGGTGAAGGGACAGGCATGTAAGTCAATGGAATGGAGAAGAAAAATAGATTTCTACAAATATAGTCAATTGATTTTTTAACAAAGGGACAGAAATCAATTTAATGGAGAAAAAGTCTTTTCAGCAAATGTTACTGGAATAGTTGTCATCCATATGTAAAAAACAACACCTCAACCTCACACCTTATCCACAGCTGAACTTAAAATTGATCATAGATCTAAGTGTGTGAAATATAAAACTATAAAGCTTCTTGAAAAAAATCATAGAAAATCTTCATCACCTGGACTTGGGCAAAGAGCTTTTAGATATGACTCTAAAAGCATAATCCATAACAGAAAATGTTGATAAATTGAATTTCATCAAAACTGAAAACGACTGCTCTACAAAGGGATGATACTAAGAGAATAAAAAAGACAAGCTAAGATTAGGAGAAAATATTGCAAAGAATATATCCAGTGTATGTTCTGAATATACAGAGAAATCTCAAAACTCAACAGGAAGAAAACAAGCCAATTGAAAATGGGCAACAGACTTGAACAGACACTTTGCCAAAGTGGATATACAGATACCAGATACACACATGAAAAGATGTTCAACATTGTTAGCCATCAGGGAAATACACATTAAAGCCACAGTGAGATATCACACCTACTGAAAAATGACTAAAAAAAAATCTGGTAGTAATACCAAGTGCCATCGAGGATGAGGAACAGCTGAAAGTCGTGTATTGCTGGAGGGCTCATGCCACTGTGGAAACAGGTGAGTGCTTTCTTACAGAGTTGTATGTGCACTCACCTTATGCCCAGGAGTCCCTCTCCTGCGTATTCAACCCAGAGAAAGGCAAGCTGTGTACACATAAAAACCTGTATGTGAATGATTATACTAGCTCTCTTTATAATTGCAAAAAAAACTAGAAACAACCCCAGTGTCCTTCATCAGGATAATCCTTAAGGATAAACTGGTGCATCCACACAGCGGAATACCACTGAGCAGTGAAGAGGAGCCAGTTATTGAAACAGGTAATTTGGAGGAACCCAAGAAACAGTACAGTGAGTGAAAGAAGCTTGCCTTGAAAGGTTATACACTGTCTGGTTCCATTTATACACGACATTCTCAAAAAGACACAAGACCATAGGGATGGAGACCAGATTGGTGGCTTGAGAGGCTGGGGCGGGGGAGGGCATGACCACCAGAGGAAAGTGTGAAGAGTGTTTTGGGGTGGCAGAGCTGTGTGTATGCTGGCTGTGGTGGTGAGGACAAAATCCACACAAGTGCTAGAGTTCGTAGACTGTACACCAAAACTCAGTTTCGCTATATAACTGAAAAAATGAGATTAAAAAATTAGATGTATATATTTTTTGTGTGCATGTGTAGAAAAATACTTGAAGGTAAGCTGCAGAGTGATAACAGTGGTTCCTTCTGGGTACTGGGTTAATATGTGATTTTTATTTTTGTTTGAGTCTTCATAATTTTTCTACATTTTCCATACAAAACATGTATTACTTCTATAATAAAACCGGCTTGAGATTATTTAAGGGAAGCAAAACACTTCTGTTGTTTCTCGTCAACTACAGGATGAAGTGCAGGCTCCCGGGTGGCTTGCAAGGGCCACAGGCCTTGGCCCCACCTCGCTGGTGCTCCCTCTACTCCTTTCTGTGTTAGAAGCAAGTTCTGGTTCCGACAGAAGGCCTGGCCTTTGAGGGTGCTGGGTCCCCAGTTCCTCAGTCACAGATGTGATGTGCTTCCCTTGACTTGGGACCTTCTGAGGGATGCAAGGTGGACCAAAGGACCCTGTGAATGGCCAGGGCCTGCCTGCATGGCTTTCGGTTTCTTAGGGAGTGATTTCAGTCTACTTAAAGGGCTGTGGAAATTTGGAGAGTACTACAGACCAAATATATTTTATGTAACAGTTGGGATCCTGCAACACTTCAGGGCTCTTTCAGAATCTGGTAGTTACGAACTCTTCAGTGACTGAGACGGGACAAGAGTGAAGATTTGTCCGTGCTTTTAGCTCCTCTCCAGTTCTTAGTTCTAATGGGAAATTATGTGACTTAAACCCAGGCTGTGAGATGCACCAGTGACCATTACATGTGGGCATAAAATAAACCCTCGAGATGTTCTCTCGCATGGTACACTGGCCTAGGCAGGAATATTCTTGAGGCTAAAACTGTAGAACTCTTGGACTAGTGTTATTAAAGTGGTGGTGAGAGGCCTGTGCAGCCACAGGGCCTGTGATGTGTCTCCTGTGTGTCTTTCACTCCTATGCAGTTTGAGTTCATGATCGAGTCCATCCTGTATGCCCGGGATGCCTGGCTGAAGGAGGACGGGGTCATTTGGCCCACCATGGCCGCATTGCACCTTGTGCCCTGCAGTGCTGATAAGGACTATCGTAGCAAGGTGCTCTTCTGGGACAACGCGTACGAGTTCAACCTCAGCGCTCTCAAGTAAGTGTCCACAGCTAGGACTGGCACTGTCTTGTGGGGCCTCCTGGTCCACAGTCTGCAGGTGGGCCAAGGCCCTGGGAGATCACACACTATGGTCGGATAAATGAGGGTACCTGTGCACCCAGATAGGACAATCTGTTTTAGATAGCATTGGAGTAATTAAAACAGTATGGTGCTATAACAAGAAAAGACAGATGAGCAGAGCAGGGTAGAATGCAAGGAACAAAAATTTTTTTCGTATGTGAAAAAGGTTGCATTACAATTAGGAGGGAGTGAGGGCCGAGTCAGCAAATTATTCTGGAGCGGTTGATTAGCTCTTGTTCTCTCACGCCATACGTGAAAACTTAATTCTGCATGGAATCAACGTCAACGACAGACATCCATGGGGGCCTGTGTGCACCATCTTAGGTGGAGAAATGAGCAGCAACAATGGATGGAATGGACCCTGTGCTAGATAGAATCTGGCAGTCTATGTGGTAGAAATCAGCAAAAACCGACTGTGAAAGCAAACAAGTAATTAGAGAAATCATGTACTGACAGGTCTTGGAATCAATTAGAAAGAGATGACTAGCCAGATGGAATTACAGCCCAATCACGTGAACAGGCAAACTACAAAAAATTACCAATAAATATATGAAAAATTATAATGTTGTTAGTAGTTAAAATGCAAATTAGAATACATGCTGTTTTCCCTACCCGACAAGCAAAGAGTAAATTAAAATAGTAGCCTGGGCTTGCGTGGCAGTGGCAGGGAGGTGTGGCTGCCGGGGCCTTAGAGGTTGGCATCAGGCCGCCCACCCCAGTCACTGCCAGAGCCTCCCACCTGAGTGTTCCTCCCGGCACTGGAAGTCAGTGGCCATCCAGAGGAACGTGGTTGAATTGCTGTATATCCGTCTGGTGGAGCACTACGGTACAGCTGCTGAAAAAGAAACCATAGGTTTTTAGGGATGTCTAATGATATTTAGAAAGGGTTTAAGAGACAGTAAAGCTTGGCAGAATAAACCATGTATACAGAATGGATGTTAGTTTGCATAAGTAAATTTATATAAATATGTCTGGGGGATAAAAATATCACAATGCTAAGACAAGCATATGGGTAATTTAAACTTTTCTTTGTACTTGTCCATTTTTTCCAATTTTTAAATTCGTAATTTTTTATCAGAAAAATAATCAGAAATATGTAAATATAGTGAAATCTTTATTAAAACATTCACTTTTATTTGCTATTTCAGAAGTTACTGCTTTGCTTATTTTTTAAAACATTTCTGTGGTAAATAATAGGTGACTTACTGACAAGCCCAGTGCAATCAGTGATGGGGGTTGGCAAACGGTGACACACAGGGGGCCATGTGGCATCTAGTGTCTGTTTCTGTGTTGAATTTGTGTAACAACAAAGGAAGTATTTCTCCTGAAACTCGGACTCACTCAGGCCACCTCAGCTCTTCTAGTTCCTTAACGTTTATTATAGAGTAACCTACAGCAGGAATACCGCTTTCATTTACTGTTAATAGAAAATCCACAAAAGATACTTTGAAATCAAATAGATTCTAAAACTAGGCAAGACACGCTGCAACTCCCCTTGTCCTCTAGGTTATGAGGGGTGAGCGTTGGTTTCCATGTGCTCAGATCCCATGAATGAGACGTCACAGGGAAGCGCCCAGTGACTCGCAGGCTCCTGAATGCCTCCAGGTCAGGCTCGGGAAGGCTCTGGATGCCTGGGTAGGGTCTGGGTCCTCTCAGAGGGGGAGGCACCCAGGGCCTCTGGAGGCCTGAGGGCTGCTCTGGGGGTCCAGGGCCCCAGACGGTGGCTTAGCCTCCTGGTGACACAGAAGAGAAAGCACTCACCGCGGTCCCACGTGTGTGTTTTGAAGCCTGAGATGTTTGCAATGACTCTCAACAGTTGCTTTGACCTTTTCCCCTAGATCTTTAGCAATTAAGGAGTTTTTTTCAAAGCCCAAGTATAACCACATTTTGAAACCAGAAGACTGTCTCTCTGAACCGTGCACTATATTGCAGTTGGACATGAGAACCGTGCAAATTTCTGATTTAGAGGTGAGAAAAAGATGAATTGCTCCTTACATTAGATAATCAGTGACCATGAAACAGACCAGAGTATCATAAACCTTCAGTGAGCGCTGGGGGTGTGAGCAACTAATTATTTTATTATACAAATAAGTGAATTTATAAAACGTTTGCTACTGATTTTTTCCAGTCTTTTTTCTTCTTTACGTTCTATTTTGATTCATATTGTACATCATTTTCTTTATAGATGTCTCTAGCGTCTTCATTTTAGATTTATGTTTAATATTCTCAGCATCTTCAAAATCAAATAAATTATATTTCGTTTCATTATGGTATTTGCATTACAGTTTTTTTCCACGTGTTTTTAGCCACCCTTCATGACAGAATTGTTAAAATTCCCTCCGCGAATCCCTGTCTGTGGCCGCGCGGTGGCGCTCGTGGGCTCTGGGCGGGTTCCCCGCGCCCCGCCCCGCCTGGCGCCCCGGTTGGCGCCGCGTCTGGAGATGGGGTGGGCGGCGCGGGCGCAGCTGTGGTTTTTAGTTCGTCCTGCGTGGAAACGCCCAGCCTGGAGCTCCCCAACGCCTTAGCCTGAAGAGCTGAGCGCCGAAAAGATTCCGCAGGAATCGGGGGCAGAAAACTGGGCGCAAGAAGCTCAGATTGCTTGACACGTTTCTGACCGAAGCGTCTGAACTCGTGATGCGGGTTTTGGGGGTGGTTTCCCAGGGCGGGGGCTTTTCTGCGGTTCCTGACGCGTTCAGCGTCTGCGCGGGGCGCGCGGAGGGGGCCGCCCCATCCCGGCCCTGCGGTGCCACGCGGTGCCCACGCGTGCCTTGTCGTCTGCTTGACCCAGACCCTGAGGGGCGAGCTGCGCTTCGACATCAGGAAGGCGGGGACCCTGCACGGCTTCACCGCCTGGTTTAGCGTCCACTTCCAGAGCCTGCAGGAGGGGCAGCCGCCGCAGGTGCTCAGCACCGGGCCCTTCCACCCGTGAGTGTGCGGGGCGGGCACGGGGTGCGGGGTGGGGGGCGCGGAGGGTGGGGCGGGCGCGGGGATGGGGCGCGCAGGAGAGGGCGGGACGCGGCGTGGCGGTCGTGGCGGGGGGGCCACGTGGGGTGGGGGCGGCGCGCGTGGGGGCGCAGGGTGGTGTAGACACCGCAGCCTGTGTGCCTCCTTCCGGGTCTCGCCCCCACTCTGGGCCCAGCCTGGGGCGTCCACCGCCACCCCCAACAGCCCCAGCGGGAGGAGCTCCCTGTCTTCCCGCCCCGGAGGAGCACCCACAGCTAATTCATGGTCCGACCCAAAGCGCCTCCGCAGGACGTAGGGGTTCACCTGACGGTTTTGGAGGGTTTTGGAGGGACAGTTGTTTTTTGGGACACATTTCCCCCTCCAGCATCCTGGACACGCGTGGCGGTGGAGCCGCCTTTGGGGCCCAGCAGGCCTTCCCTTTGAAACTGGGGTGGGGTTGGCTGCCCCGCTCTGGCACCTGCCCCGCCCTGGCACCTGCCCTGCTGACTCCCCAGCGTGATGGCCCCACGAGGGGACCCCGGCTCCAGGGAGGTCGCAGACGTGTGGAGTTGATGCCCTGGCCTGGCATGTGGTCCCCATCACAAGAGTCCTGTGGTAACCTCTCTAGTGCCGTCACCGAGTGGAGGTGGGCAGCTTGGAGGCTGGTTATACCCACCCCCGAGTCTGGGGGCATGGAGGGAGCAGTGACCTGGGGCACAGGCTGGGGTGAGGGGTGTGACCAGAGTCAGGGAGAAACTGGAGACCTGAGGAGCCCCCCATTTCACTGCTGGCCCCACTGTGGACAGTGGGAGTTTGAGGGGCGACAGAGCCTGAAGAACTTAGAGATGTTTCCAGCGCAACCCAGTGCAGAATCCTAGCGTTTTACTATTTTCCCCCAAACGTGACAGTGGTCCTCACATTGTAGCCGTCACAGAAGCGACTCCTTGGACCTGATTCCATCCGTGTACACCACAGTTTAATGGCAGGAGCTAGATCACCAGCCTCTGCAGCTTAGGCGAGGGCACAGGAAGGGGGTGCCCCGCCGTCCTCCTGGCGGGGAGTCAGACACCACACGGGACCTTTAGTGCAGCCGTGTGTCCCCTGAGCTTCCACATCCTCTGGGCCACCCAGGGTGAGCCGTCCACACCTCCAGGAATCTGAGTGGTCTCAGGAGCAGCCTTGTGTTTGGCATTGGCAGGATCTGTCTCACCAGCGTAACTTTGATCCCAGTGTATCCCATAGAGTCCCTTTAGATCACAGGGCTGGGGGTGTATCTGCCCCCTGAGTTAGCCTGAAAAGTCAAGCTTTGTGTCCCCAGGCCCTCAGGGTGGACTGCCAGCCATGTGGGTTCTGCTGAGGGTGAGAGCCAGTGCGAGCCTGAGTCAGCGCCCCGAGGGCCATGTGGAGACTGCCCTCGCCCAGCCTCCAGGTCACACACACCCCTGTCTTGCAGCATCACACACTGGAAGCAGACGCTGTTTATGATGGACGACCCAGTCCCTGTCCGTACTGGAGACGTGGTCACAGGTTCAGTTGTGTTGCAGAGAAACCCAGTGTGGAGAAGGCACATGTCGGTGGCTCTGAGCTGGGCTGTCACTTCCAGGCAAGACCCCACATCTCAAAAAGTAAGATATGTATTTGTAAGATTCTGTCCTGTGGGTGCCGGTCCTCAGGGAGACAGGCCTGGGTGGTGGTAGTGATGGCAGATGCTGGCCCACGCTGGGGCCCACGCGTTTTGTGCACGAGTGATTTAATACACAGAAAGTGCATGCTGTTACTGGCTTCATTTCCCATCTGACAGCACAGGAAGTGGAGGGCTCTGGCAGGGAAGTCATTTCCTCAGGTGACACGGTGAGTGAGGGAGAGCAGAGACCCACATCAGCCTGAGGCCCCTCGTGCCACGTCCAGAGGGGTCCCCAGATGGGCAGAAGCCTGAGCTGTGCCTCGGTGCTCCCTTTACACAGGCCTCTGTGGCTTCCCAGGCAGCAGTTCATCTAGGTGTGTTGTCCGTGATGTGTGTTCTGACGGGCAGCCTTTGGGTCCGTGCATGAATTCATGTGTAGCTCGCCCAGCTCACTTGGGCTTCCTGTCTCGGAGGCTGCTGAAAATGGAATGATGTTCTTTGGACTCAGGATTAATGTGGCAAAGAAAATAAAAATAAATTGTTTTCCTTCATTTTTTATATTTGTTTTGTGCTTTGCTTTGTGATAATTTTTTGTTAAAAGTTTGTCATTTAAGAAAATTCTGCACCTGAATATTGCTCTCTTGTCCAATATCAAACCATTAGGAAATGTAGTGTGTTAATCAAATGATTTATTATCTGACTGACCTGTTGTCATTTATCTGTTTCAGGTTGGAGAAAAAGTGTTCCCAATCTGGAGATGACAGTTGAGGCTTTATTTGGAAAGCAGTGTGCGTATCCTGAGGGGTGACGAACACAAGCAACCCAAGATGCACCTGGCTGCTGCACACTCCTGCGAAGTCGGTGAACGTTCACGCCACATTGACCCCTCCCCAGCCTGGCAGGTGACGTCAGGGCCCTTCACAAACACGCTTGGGCTCGGCAGGAGCTGCCGTGGCCACCCCCGCTGCCCAGTGTCTGCCCTCTAGAAGTAGGCTGTGTTTCTAGGTGTTCACCCGTGGTGTCCACAGTGCTGACCCGTGGCTAGGTCAGAGCTCCATGTTCCTAAGCTAGGTCTAGGTCCACACTCCTAGAACGCCCGCATATCAGCCTGTGTACCCTGTGACAGTGACTGTTCCCGCCTCCTGTGTTAGTGGTGCCCTTACTGCCATCGCTCATCCACTCGTGTGGGATGTAGGATTGCACAGGGCTGTGCCAGTGCCGTGTAGGGAACACCGCCCTGGCTCAGCGCGGGAGCTGAGGTGGCGATGCACGCGATGGGACTCTGCATGGGATAGTTTTGTAGACGTCTTCCAAATGAATTATGTGTTGGCGCATTGCACATGCTCAATAAATATTTTTAAATGAGTGAATGTCATTGTGTATCCTGTTTTACGCATATATGTTATTTTTTGTAATTACAGGATCATACTATATACATTGCTTTGTAACCTTTTCTCAGTATTGTGAAAAAAACTTCCATATCAGTAGATACAATTTTTTGTGTGTTTTGATTTTTATTAAATTTTATTGAAATATAGGCTGAGTGCAGTGGCTCACCTCTGTAATCCCAACATTTTGAGAGGTTAAGGTGGGATGATTCCTTGAGCTCAGGAGTTCAAGACCACCCTGGGCAACATAGTGAGATCCTATCTCTACAAAATACAAAAATTAGCTGGGCGTGGTGGCATGTGCTTGTAGTCCCCGCTACTCGGGAGGCTGAGGTGGGAGGATCACTTGAGCCTAGGTGGTGGAGGCTGCAGTGATCTAGGATTGCACTGCCGTACCCCAGCCTGGGTGACAGAGCAAGACCCTGTCTCAAAACCCAAAAAACAAAACTGAAATATCAAATATATATTGAAAACAGCGCTGGTCGTGGGTACCTAGATGATGGCATTTTATAAAGTGGATGCACATGTAACCAGCATCCAGTCCAGGACACGCTACTGACTCCCCGATTCCCCTTCCGCTCAGTGCCCACCCTCTCGAGGGTGGCGTCCTGACTTGTAACTGTCAATTACTCTTGCCTGAATGGAATTGTACACATGTTCTTTTGCGTCTGCCGTCTTTAATTAAACATTGTGAGACTCATCTATGAGTTTCAGACAGTGTGGTTGTGGCTTACTTTTTCACTGTGGCATAAGTATTCAACTGCATGAATAGACCACAGTTTATGAATCTTATTTCACATGGTGTCCTTTTGGGTTGTTGGCAGTGTTTAGCTATTATGATTACTGAGACTGTGGACATTTCTGTGTATGTGTTTTGGTGCATGTATGTACACCTTTCTGTTGGATGTACACTGTATACCAGCTTTTCAAGTCAAGGAATCTAACATCGCTGCCAGCTGTGCATGAGAGTTGGCATCCTCATCAACACCCAGTGTTGTGTTTTGCATTTTACCTGCTCTGGTGGGCGTGTGGATTTGGTATATATTTCACTGATGACCAATCCAGTTTTGTAGATTTGCTGCTCATTTGGATATCCTGTTTTTGAGGTGCTTGTTTAAGTCTTTGGCCCATTTTACTATTAGGGTTTTTTTTTTTTCTAGTTCTAATTGAGATTCCAGGTATTCCTGATATAGTCTGGCTGAGTCCTGTAACACATATTTTTGTGAATATCTTTTTCCTTTCAGTGGCTTTTTTTTTTTTTGAGACAGAGGCTCGCTCCATCGCCAGGCTGGAGTGTAATGGCGCGATCTCGGCTCACTGCAACCTCCACCTCCAGGGTTCAAGCGATTCTCCTGCCTCAACCTCCCGAGTAGCTGGGATTACAGGCGCCTACCACCATGCCCAGCTGATTTTTGTATTTTTAGTAGAGATGGGGTTTTACCATGTTGGTCAGGCTGGTCTCGAACTCTTGACCTCAGGTGATCCACCTGTCTCGGCCTCCCAAAGTGCTGGGATTACAGGTGTGAGCCATCATGCCCAGCCTCTGTGGCTTTTTGTGCTCTTAATAGGAGTATTTTGATAAGTAGAAGTTCTTAAATGTTACATTGTCCAATTTGAAATTATATTTTCTTTTATAGCTTGTATTGTTTTCTCTTGCACTTAGATCATATACTCCACCTGGAATTGATTTTTGTTGTTCATGTGAGGAGAGGGGTTAAACTTTATTTTTTTCCCCCTAGAGATAGAAGCTTAAATCGTTGATTTCAACCTTTCTTCTTTCTAATACATAGATCAGAACTCTTAATTTTCTTTAAAATTGCTTTAGATGCAACAATGAATTTTGATATATTTTCAGCATCACTCAGTTTCAAACGTTTTCGGATTTCTGTGACAATTTCTTCTGGTGTGCCATGGGCTTTTTAGAAGTAAGCGTGCGGCTTAATTTTGAAAGGTGGGATTTTTTAGTTACTTTTTCTTATTGATCTCTGGCTTAATTCCACTGTGGCCAGAAAACAAATTGAGGAATGCTAATCCCTTGAAATTTGTTGAAACTTGTTTTATGAGTCAGTACACGTCCGCTATTCGTGTGCACTTGAGAAGAAAGTGTATTCTGTTGTTGAGTGCAGGGCTCCAAATACGTAATTTAGATCCAGTTTACTACTTGTGTTGTTCACCTAGTTGGATATTTACTGATGTTCTTGTCTGCTTATGGAGTCTCTGTCTTGGTTCAGGCTGCCATAACAATACCACAGACTGGGCAGCTTAAACAGCAGGAATTTATTTCTCACAACTCTGGAGGCTGGGATAACCAAGACCAAGGTGCTGGCCTCAGTTCCTGCTGAGGCTGCTCTTCCTGGCTGGCAGACAGGCACCTTCTCCCTGTGCCCTTACTTGGCAGGAGAGAGAAAGGGAGTGCTCTTGCGTTTCCTCTTGTAAGGGCACTAATCCTGCTGGATCAGGGCTTCATCCTATGGCCTCATTTGACCTGAATGGCTTCTGTAAAGGCCACATGTCCCACAACAGTCACATTGGGGATTAGAGCTTCAACACAGGAATTTGGGGAGACACAATTCAGTCCATAGCATTCTGCTTCTGGCCCCTCAAAATACACATAGAAAATACATTCCACCCCAGCAGCCCCCAAAGTCTTAACTCATCTTTAGATGCTCTATAGTCTAGAATCTTATTTAAATATCACCTAAATCAGCCGTGGGTGAGACTCGAGCTATGATTCACCCTGAGGCAAAATTCCCTGTCTGGCTGTGAGCCTGTGAAACCGAACGTGTGATGTGCATCCAGAGTAAAAGATGGGTCAGGCCTAGGGTAGACACCCCCGTTTCAAAAGGGAGAAGTAGAAGGAAGGGATCACAGGTCTCGAGCAAGCCCAAAACCTAGCAAGACAATTTCCATCAGATCCTAGGGCTCGAGAATGATCCTCTTTGGTTGGTGCTGTGGCCCCAGGCCCCTGGGGTGGCAGTGTCACCGCCATGACTTGGTGAGGCCACCCTCACCTGGTTTCTCTCTGCAAGGGCAGCCCACTTTACAGGCCTGCAAGACCAGGGAGGCCATCTTTGAAACAGGAAGAAGTGGTCTCGTCCCTTGGGCCTGGGGTGGAAGTGGTGGCTCTGATGCTCTCTGTAGCACCTTAGGGGTCATTCCTTCCCTTCTTTGGAGAGTGGTGCATGTTTGCAGCCCAGCAGCTCTGTGGGTTGGTCCTGTGGAATCCAGAAGTCTGACAACCCAACACTGTTCCACCCCCTTCCTCTGAGATGGCTGATTAATGAGCTGTACCATGATTATCAAACAATTGTTCAGTCACAACCTTAGTGTTGTCTTCAGAACATGCTTTTTCATATTTTTGCAGTATGGATAGACTGAGAATTTTCCAAATCTTCAAGTTCTGATTCTGTTTTGCTTAATAATTCCTTCATCAATTCATCTCTCTCACGTTTTATGACAAGCAACCAGGAGGAACCAAGGTGTCCCTTCAACACTTTGCTTAGAAATCTCTTCAGCTAGGCTGGGTGCCGTGGCTCATTCCTGTAATCCCAGCACTTTAGGAGGCTGAGGCAGGCAGATCACCTGAGGTCAGGAGTTTGAGACTAGCCTGGCCAACATGGAGAAACCCCATCTCTACTAAAAGTACAAAATTAGCCAGGTGTGGTGGTGTATACCTGTAATCCCAGCTACTCGGGAGGCTGAGGCAGGAGAATTGCTTGAACCCGGGAGGTGGAGGGTGCAGTGAGCCAAGATTGTGCCACTGTGCTCCAGCCTGGGCAATAAAGTGAGACTTTGTCTGAAAAAAAAAAAAAGGAAAGGAAAAGTAAAGAAAGAAAACAAAAGAAAAGAAATCTCTCCTCAGCTAAATACTCAGTTTCGTCACCTTTGTCTGGCCTTCTGTAGAACACTGGAACACAGTCCAGCCAAGTTCTTTAAAGTTCTTTGCCACTTTCTAACAAGGATGGCCTTTCCCCCAGTTTCCAATAACATGCTCCTCAGTTCCACCTGAGACTCATCAGAATCACCCTGATGTCCGTATTTCTAGCAAGCTCCTTAAAATGATTCTAGCCTCTGCATATGACTCGATTCTGAAGCTGCTTGCATGTATTTAGGTGTTTGTTTCAGTAGCACCCCACTTCTGGCTAACAAAATCTGTATTGGGGTTTTCTAGAGAAACAAAACCAACAAGGTGTTCGTGTGTGTGTGTGTGTTTGAGAAATGGGGGTGGGAAGAAGAAAACGTGATCTTGGTAGGTGCAACCAGTCATCTTGGTAGAGCGTGTTTGTAGAATTTGGAGATCTACCAGAGGGAGAGGTTGCTGCTTCCTGAGGGAGATTGGAACTGACGCTCCAGAGTGAGAGGTCCCAAGTCCTGGAAGGGCTGAGGAGTGCCTTGTCCTCGGTGATGACGAGAGTGTTGTGGAAGTGTGGGGCAGGGTTAGGTACTGAAGGCCTCATTGGAGGTTCCTGTCCTTCTGCAGTGAGAGTTATCTGCAGGCAGCGAGGAGGGTGAAGCTTGGGGAGGAAGTTTGAGGAGAGTGTGAAAGGCATAAGTAACAGCCAAGGAGCATGACGAGGATGTGGCGTCTCCAGCCAGCTCGGCCTGGGAGTGGGAGCCTTCAAGCTGTTGCAGGGCCGGGCGGTGGAGGGCCATGGTGGAATGGACAGTGAGCCCAGGATGGAGGGTCCCTTCCTCACCACCCACCTCTCCCCGCCCAGTGGAGGGGGGTAATGGTGCGTGAGGGTGTGGGTTTCGTTTCTGACACTTTGCTTGTGAAGAGAAAGCCTCGGCTGGCTGGCCTTGTGACGTAAGCTCCTGTCGGCAGCTGAATACCTGCACTGAGGGTGGTGCTTCCTGGGACCCCACATCCAGCCAGGGCTACCCAGACACAAGTCACACCCCTTCCCTCGGGCAGTGGCCAGGCCCAGCATACAGCGGCACCTTGGCCCACTCAGCCCTTGCTTCTCGTCCAGTCAGGACCT